GTAAACCGGCCCCGCAATTAAAATCGTTTTTTCCTTAAACATGGATTTAAAATTGGTTTTTTAATATATGGGGGTTCCCCCCCCCCCCCCCCCCACAACCGTGCATACCGGCTAACCTAAGGTAAGTTAGATAATTCATCAGTTGAAAAGCCTCGTAGCTCGGCATAATATTAGGTGCCTAAAGCTAATTGGATGGTTTCAAGGTTGGTATCTTTATAAGCAATGATTACACCTCTCGCATCTGGAGCGGGCCCGACTTAAGGGGCACTAATAAACTAGAACATTGACCAAAACCCCGCCTATCCGCCCTATCGGAGGCTTCCGCTAAATTCTTCGGCCACAACATCTAATACATCTCATCGGAACCGTTTCACAACTCACCAAACAGAAACACCATTATTTCGTCACAAATTACCTCAAACAAGCAACCAGGCAACACGACATCGACCTCAATTCTTGTTCAATATCCCTTTCCCTTTTCCATCAAATCCAATAAACTCGACTTCACCCGTATAGCTAGCAGATCATCCCCAATCGCTCCAATAAGACTGATATCACGCGATCCCGTACATGATCCTAATCCGACCGTACTGCCGTATTGCCTTATTACCGTATTACAATAGGTTGAGTTAACCCGAGTGAGTTAACCGAATCATCTGCAACCTGAGTTGTACCATAGCAGTTGTACCAAAGCTCGCATATCCATCGAACCATTTAAGCTTCGTTGTTCGACATAATTAGTCTGAGTCCGCCAACTTTTAATTCCAAGCCAAACGATATCACCGTTACTCATTTAAAGCCTTATTATTCGATAAAGGAAGAAAAAAAAGAGAAGGCTCCAGCTACATAATAGTCGTTGCAGTCGTGCCAGCTCGTGTCCATCCTAGCTGCCCTGGCCTCCCCCCCTAGAGAAAAAACTGGGTTTCTCTGGTTCGACTCAGTTTACAGTTTACGTCAGTTCCACCGGATAGTCGACCAATTGTTGTCTTATTCATCTGTCTAAAGATGCACCAATCCAAGACGGCCTGATTTGAAGATCCAAGGAGTGAACTGTCGATCCTAGCCCTGCCATTCTGCGTTCTTGTATCTTATACGGCACCAAGTCTTGTTGATCTATGGTCTCTTCTCTTACCACCTTTGCGGTTTCTAGGGTTTTTTTTTTTATCTTGGTCCCTTCGTGCCGATGTGATTCAGATTACTTTTCAACATTGTCTCTTGTTTAAAACTATTTCTTCCCGATATTCCTCGCCCTTACCATCTCTTACAACATCTCATCCCTTCTTGTGACTTGAAGCATCCAGCTGGATCTTTACATAGTATATCTCCCAGCTGGTCCCCCCTTCTTATGTGCATTGCATATTGCCCTATCGCTAGTTCAAACGAATCTGGTCTTACCCCTATCTATCCCTGATCTATCCCTGATTTATCCCTGATCTACTACCTGGTATTTAAGTCTTTGGGCTTACTTCTTTCTGTCGCCTAGTCGGTGAATGAGTTGTCGAATCGTTGAGTAAAGCGTAGCAGAGCTTGATATTTCAGTCGCAACAGCTCATCGCTGCCAGATTTTCGAGATGGCCGGTCAAACGGTCAACGAAAACTTCATCGATATTACCATTACAACCTTCTCGTCGCCCGAACCTGATAGCCAGCGAGGACGAAAACGCAGACGTAGCCCGCCAGAAGCCCTAGCTGTTGCGGCAGCTCGGGTACCGTCAGCGGAGTCGTCTACTTTCCGTGGACGATGCAGGCACCGATCATCTTCTAGGCTCGACATATCCCGAAACACATCGCGACTTAGAGGAGGATCCTTATCCCCAACTCGCAGGAAGTTGATCCGTGTCGTCCAACTAAACCGTCATCGAAGTCAATCACCATCCAGATCCCGTTCTCCAAACACACTGGAAGCTCCCAAAAGGAGGCGGCAGAGAACACAAAGTCGAAGTCGAAATCACGAAGTCGAATCGAAGAAAGCCATTGAGCCGATCCCTATCGTAGCTTCGTTCCTCCGACATGAAATTGTGATCAGAAGCGATAGTCCGTCCCGGAAGTCAACACAAGATGAATAATCTAGCTGGGGCTTAAGAGACGGAATTATAAATACCCACCGCAATACCAAGTACCTATATCCACGCTCTCATGATGTGCGGCATTGGACCGATATGAGGTTGCATCGTATTACTGCAATCGCCAAGTATTACGCAACAACAGCAACAACAACAAAACCAAAGAGTATTGCCGTCCAACCTTGGAAGCTGGTTTCGAGGCAACAAAGTTTGTTGCTTTACCTTTAATAATAATGATCTTTGGAAAAAAAAAAAACAGTGACGGGAGCCGGAATGTTCCTTACTTGAATGGAAACTAAATGGAAATCAAAAGCAACAACAGGATGCATGGAATCGTTTATTAATGTATGAAATGATTTATCAACTCGGATCGAAACAGGGAAGGTTATCACAAAATGAAAATAAGGACATTAGAAGTCTCAAATATGCTAATTACCTCCTACCTAGGTATCCATAATGTTATATCATATTATTTTAAATTACTAATAATTATAATAAAATGCCGAGAGGTAAGAATGGTTGATGTTAAATACCACTGATGCCGTATATATTGTATATTAGTATCGGTATCAGAAGCACAGGAGAATAGGTCCGGGGGCAGGGGGGATGCGGATGAAGAGTGTGGATTGGTGCCAAGAAGACCCCAAGAAGACCCTAAGAGGACCACGAGAGGACCCCACGGCGAAAGAATGCCTGCATCTGCATCAAGTTAATTGGGTCTCCTAGATCTGCGGGGCACGTGGCCTGGGGAGCACAGAAGTAAGAAAGGAAGAGGGGAGTGGACTGGATGAGATTAGTGCGCTCAGCTGGTCAGCAGACCAATCAAGCATTTTTCATAATTCGATTTGATTTGCGACGCGTCAGGCATACCATGGTATAGTATAAGCCCATAGGCAGTTAGGTAGGTAGCTACATCCTCGGCGGGGTGGCCAGGATGGGTAGCTGCGCCTATCGGTAGCCAACCCTTGCCTACAACTACCTAGGTACTTCTTTTTGAGAAAGTATCCCCTCCATATCCTGTGGGTGAGGTTGATACTTCCTCAAGTCAACGTCAACCTAATGCATCCCGAAATGTTCCTAGTCAACAGCAATCGACCAACCAATTTCGCCCATCTGCGAATTTCAGAAGCTTGACTGTCACATCCATCCACTCACAACTTATCTCACCATATACGGTACCTAACCTTTGTCCTCGTGACAAAGTTAACAATTTGAGATTTTTTTTGTCTCTTCTTTTTTTTCATCTTCTTTTGAAGTTGGCGGTTGAGTTTCGTGGCTCACACCTAATCGCAAGTTTATTATTATCGGCCTATCCGCCTTTTCGTCATTACCTAGTAAACTCCACACGGAATTCCACACGAAATCTACGCACATCCCTCTTTGCGCGTTCTGTGCATCTACATCTCATTTATATATCCAGCCTTGCCAATGCCCACCACCACCTACGAAAGTAACTTTCTCAGGCGACGCGCCTTTCTTTGTCTATAACCTCTAATTATCCCTGCAGACGTCTTAGCAACAACACATATTCTGCATGTAGCCGTACCTTGGCGATCACAGCGACAGGCCAGGAAGCCATACAATATGGCTTCAAACAATCACTCACAGGGTAATAACCCTTTTCACAGCCCTGCTTATTCACCTGATTCACTTGATTCACCCGCACCTACTACAAGTCAGAACAACCCTCTCCAACCGATACAAACAACTTCGGCTTCAGCTCTACCCACAAAGAGACTCCACAATGATATTGATATTGATATTGATACTAATACTAATACTGATACTGATGCTTTGTTTTTCGATCCAGCCTCCATGCAGAATGGGTCCTCAAGACTCAATCTGAACCCAGCCCTCTTACTCAACCCCAAGGGCTACGCCGCTCCTGCTGCACCTGCCCGACCGAGTGCGCCCGTTCGTCCTTACAACAATTCGATCAATTCGAACGACTCGGCCGATGTCGCATTCCAATTCACCAGCCCCGATTTTCACTTTTCCAACCCGCAGAATGGATACACCACTACTACTAGCCAGCCTATGCCACAGTCTAGCAATTTCAGCAATATGATTGACCGCATGAACAATGTGGAACAGCGTATATTCAATCCTCAGACGAAACGCCGAAAGCTCGAGACGGAAGATAATGCCAGTTCGGCGCACACATTTAGAAGCAGTGGCGGTGGAATGGTTGGCCAGTACGTGAAGGAGAGGCGACAGGACGGAGGCAGTCAACAACGCTCGACTGGACCAGTGGAGGCCGTAGACCTCACTGATACTGGTAAGATACTCGAATAGACGCTAATGGAACATCTACCTAACATCTTAATAGGGGGGGAAAGCGACGTCGTTGTGATACAAGCCCCGATAGACGAGGAGATATGTTACGGCATGATCCAACACGCAACCCTCAATTGCCATATCGTTCCGAGTCCTAAGCCAGGCCTTATTTCGCTCGATCCCACTTGGTGGCCCCAAGTAAAAATTGTACTCAGAAGAAAACTTGGTGAGGCTTCATACGTCATTCACGCCTGCGATCATACGCGCAGAATTGTCGGGACGGTCGATGCCAGCACTGCGTCCGGTCTCGCAGGCTTATTAGACTCTCGCCTTCAAATCAGAACCGACTGCAGGATACCAACAAGGCAAAGGGTGGCAGGAGAGGAAGCTGGAAAACCGACATCGAGGAATTATACACTGGATCTGATGCTTTACGGTCCCCGAAGGAGCGCTAGAGCAGTCGCGAGACATCTTTCCCAGAAGAACCTTTGGCTTCGCAACCCCTCAAGAATCGACCCGAGTATAAAATATGAGAATCCACAGCTTGCCGAGGGGCCCAAGCCTCCGCCGATTATCAGAGAACAACCTAAGATGCTTCCTGGTACATCGGCATCTGTTCCGCCTCCTATGATGCGTAGCGTTGAAGAGATTCGCTCCGAGGTTATGGGAGTGTTTGACTCTCTTACGAAGAATGAGGAGCTTCCGGAGATGGAACCTGACCCTCGAGTGCAGACGGAACTTTTAAAGCATCAAAAACAAGGGTTAAGCTTTATGGTGACGAAGGAGAAGCCTCGCCAATTTGACAGCGATGGCAAGGCGATCGGCTCTTTTTGGCAAATGCGCCTAGCTAACAACGGCCAGACAACATACTATAACGTAATTACGGGAAGTTGGCAGCGTGAAGCCCCCCCCGAGACCCTAGGTGGTATCCTTGCGGATATGATGGGTCTAGGAAAGACGCTAAGCATCCTATCTCTTGTCACTAGCTCTCTCAAAGAAGCTGACGAGTGGTCAAAGCTTACGCCTGTTCAGCCGCAGGCGCCTCCTATGCCGAAGAAGAAACTCAGTTCTTCGGGACAATTTGATGTACCCACACCGCAGCCGCTCGGCCTGACCCAGCTAAAACTGAATGGCAAAGCGACGCTCCTAATATGTCCTCTCAGTACGATAACCAACTGGGAAGAACAAATCAAAACTCACATCCAGCCTGATCAGTTGACGTATTATATTTATCATGGATCCAATCGTATTAAGGATCCTAAGAAACTCGCCTCGTTCGATCTTGTTCTGACGACCTATGGATCTGTCGCCAGCGAGGTAGCATCTCGTAATAAGGGCAGGCAGGGACCATATCCATTAGAGGAAGTAGGATGGTTTCGTGTGGTCCTGGACGAGGCGCATATGATTCGAGAGCAGTCCACCTTGCAGTTCAAAGCTATTTGCCGCTTACAAGCTAACCGCCGCTGGGCTGTCACCGGAACTCCTGTCCAAAACAAACTAGATGACCTTGCAGCATTGCTCGCTTTCCTCCGCCTGAAGCCTTTCGACGAAAAGAGCAAGTTTACACAATACATTACAGCTCCTTTCAAGGTTTGCGATCCCGAGATTGTCCCGAAGCTTCGGATTCTCGTGGACAGTATCACTCTTAGGCGTTTAAAGGACAAGATCGATCTGCCTCCCAGGACGGACGAGATCGTAAGACTCGAATTCTCTCCTTCCGAGCGCAAGCTATACGAAATATTCGAAAAGAACGCGCAAGATAAGGTACAAGTCTTGGCGGCAGGCAGGGAGAAGATGATTGGCGGCAGGACCTATATCCATATTCTTCAATCCATTCTTAGACTACGCCTTATATCTGCGCATGGTAGAGACCTTCTCAGCGATGAGGATCTAGAGGCGGTGCAGGGCATGACGCAAGAATCTGCCATTGACCTAGACAGCGACGAGGACGAGGAGAAACCAGCATTGGCAGAATCAAGGGCTTACGAGGCATTTGAGCTCATGCAGGAGACCAACAGCGACTTGTGTATATCCTGCCAGAAAAAGATTGGCTCGAATGACGGTGCTAGCATCGCGTCAGAGCGCGAAGAGGATGTTCTCGGCTACATGACTGCTTGTTTTCATCTTCTCTGCACCAGCTGCATTAAGACTTGGGAAGAAGATGCGGGCAATCATGGGTCTGGTACATGTCCCTTCTGCCAGTCTCATGTTCGCTTTGCCTACAATGAAATTCGCAAGAGCAAGGCCGAAGTAGAGCACGAGGGACACCATCAATCACACAAATCTGAAGTTAAAGTTAGAACGAAAGAAGGCTACCCAGAATATTCGGGACCTCATACGAAGACTCGCGCACTCGTCCATGACCTTCTGAGATCAAAAGCTGATAGCGAGGCTCAACCAGACGAGCCCCCATTCAAATCGGTTGTCTTTTCTGCCTGGACGTCTCATCTTGACCTTATACAGATCGCATTAGACAACGCTGGCATTAAATACACTCGTCTTGACGGTAAGATGAGTCGCACCGCCAGGACTGCTGCTATGGATGCCTTCCGGGAAGACAACTCTGTGCATGTGATACTCGTGTCGATTATGGCGGGTGGCCTCGGCTTGAATCTCACTTCGGGGAACTACGTCTACGTTATGGAGCCTCAATATAACCCGGCAGCAGAGGCGCAAGCCGTTGACCGTGTCCACCGACTGGGCCAGAAGAGACCTGTACGCACGGTTAGGTATATCATGCGAAACAGCATCGAGGAGAAAATGCTCGAGCTTCAAGACAAGAAGAGAAAGCTGGCAAGTCTTAGTATGGACAGAAATCGGGTCATAGATAAAGCAGAGGCGGCGAAACAAAAGCTCATGGATCTACGCAGCCTTTTCAGATAATAACCTTTTGATCCATATGAATCCTCGATTATGCCTTATATTTACTTGCCTTGAGGCGTATAACGGCGTTTTCTTTGGAGGGGGTATCTTGGCGATATTCTAAAGGATCGGTCATCTAGGTACATTGCTTTGCACGGCGTTTTGGTCACGTTTTGGTGTACAAAGCTGTTGCCAGTAAGCAAGTAAACCACCGCGTTACTAGCAACTGGACTCGACTCGATTCACGGGCGCTCGTCTCCGGATACGAAGGGGTTAAATATGAAAAAAGTTTTTTTTAGGGAGAACGATGTACGACTCGTAACGAAATAGATCAACCAACCAACCAACCACCTTTGAAAGGGAGAGAAGTTAAACGGCACGTGGAATAATGAATTTTTTTACGTTGAAATAGGCGATGCCTATACGTTGATTAATGTATGTCAATTATATTACTATTTAAAGCGGGTTGTAACTCAGGCGTGCAACAACCTCCTCCCCCTCTTATTAGATACCAGAATCTGGCGGTCGTCCCAGGACTGGGGAACTTGGCTTAGCTTCGACTTCCCGGATAGACGGAATGAATTACGCGATTGAGATTAATGCTGTCTTCTTTAATTATCGTTGCCTTATGTGTTGTACGTACGTGTAATAATGACGTTCCGTCTGTGGCTGATCTGTATCTGGGCCCAGTTAAGCTAGGTAGGTAGCTACCTGATAGCTGTAGGTTAGGTACCTAAAGTTTATAGGATCGTACGCCTTCGTAAACATGACATTGTTCTCTAGATATCGTCATATCAAACACATCCCTCCCCTTTCCCACATAGATACTAGATACCTAAGGTACCTAACCTAAAATCACCAAAGTATATGCATAATCTAACGACGAGGTGAGCTTTTCCAACCTAAACCAACCCCCCTTCCCCCCTCCCCTTCCCCTCTCTCCCCATCTGTTGGGAAGAGAGAGAGCCCAGTTAAATAGCTACCTCCTAGTAGTTACATTAGATAGGTAGGTAGTTTAGGTAGTCTAGCCAGTCGAGGGGAGAATAACGAACGCATGGAATTACCTTGCCGTATCGAATGCGAGTAGTCTTACTTTTAGTTGGTTCCTCTTACGTTAGGCACCTAAGGTACGTTACCATTATCCATATATGGCTGGGTAGGTTGGGTAGGTAGGTACCTATATAGACACGCGTGTCGTTTTGTCTTATTTATGGGGGGTGGGTTAGGGGTTAGGTATACGGATTTAGGTACGTGTGCGTGGCATGATGGTATAGTATTGTGCTGTGCTCTGCTGTGCTGTAGATGCCTCGGCATGTGGGTATTATATGCCTGCATATATTACCTAGGTTAGGTAGGTACGTGATATATGTGTGCGTGGGTGTGTATGTATTGATGTAGTCGTAGTTTAGGTTTAGGCATAAGTTATCATATCCTCAAGTCTTCTGGCAATTTGATGGAGGAAGTTCGAGCAATATCAAGTTTACTTCAGTTTCAGGGGTAATTAAAGGTTACCTATCTTCTAAGGTACGCATTGTACACTGGCCTGGTAATAAGTAACTCAAAACCTTGTTCTGATTAATATTATACATTCCTATTACTATACAACTAGCTAGTAGTCGAGAAACAATCACGAAGCTTCAAGTTCATACTAATTATCATCACCAGCGAATCAAGAAAGTAACAACAAAAAACCCATCCGCATGCAATGTTTAATGCACTAAACGTATTGCTTTTTTTTTTGGTCCAAATTTTTAATCATTCAGTCTGTCGTAAGTGATACGCCAACGCCCACCTAATTACATAGTAACGTGAGCCCCTTTTCACCCATTTCCTCTGAACGCCGGAGGACGAGTTGCCTCAACATGCTATATGCCTCGTGGCCTTTTTTATGTACACAAATTTCCGATCAAGGCCATCGTCTCTCGATAACTAGGAATAGCCGTGTTCGTAGTATTTTATTACCACCTCCCACATTATAGCCTTCCTAGTTCGAAGCGACTCGATTCTTCCGAACCTAATCTAAAATTTTATCAACCCCACGCGTCGATCAATTAAGCCGCATTGGCACCGACAAGAGGCTGAGCGATCCGCGTAACTTGATCCCCAGCCCGGACAATTCGTCGACCGGATGAGTCAGTCACAAACCCTCCCTCCTTCTCCATATTCGCCTTCTTCCAGATTTCGACTTCGCAGCCTCCTCGAAGAACACCGACGCGCATAGTAGAAAGAAGGTTGTGGGCAGCATTCGAGTGGTCGTACACTCCACCATTGAAGATAGCAGTAGCGTCCTTTCCGATGGCAGACGAAATTAAAGCCTTTCCACCAGGATGGTCCTTGATGAAGTCGGTGACATCGTGAATAACACCAGCAACAGCGACCAGAGCCTTGCCGTTCTTAGACTCGCTAACGTAGTCGTCCCAGTCCATAACAGGTAGCTGCTCAAGAGGAACACCCCAGTCTAGCTTAGCTCGCTTCTGGTCGAGCTTCTTCTGTATCTGCTGGAGACGGCCTTTCTCGATTTCGTTCTCGCGGAATGTCTTCAGATTGTAGGCAAGACCGAGTTTCTTCCAAGCCCAGATGCTCCACTTGGTCGGGTCGTACTGCCACCACTCAATGGCGTTACGGTAGTCGGACGGGAACTCGTGGTGGAAGTTGTGGTAACCTTCACCAAGGGTGACAAGTGCAGTAATGACGTGGTCTCGGGGAGAGTTGCGGTCGTCAAAAGGCTGGTCGCCGAGCCAGTGGGCAAGGGAGTTCACGCAGAAAGTAGCTTGCTGGATGAAGAAGATTCGGATGATACCAGCATAAATGAATCCACCCCACCAGTCGCCCCAGCCGAGACCGCAGACAAGAGTCGGCAAAACGAGAGACATGGTGATGACGCACTTGATGTAGTGCTTGTGCTGCCAGACGACAACCGGGTCATCGTTGAGATCAGAGATATCTGTTCGGCCAATTCGCTTAGGGTTCTGTTTCATGACCATCCAGCCGATGTGGGAGTACAGGAGACCCTTGCGGACGGAGTAGGGGTCCTTCTCGGTATCCGTATAGCGGTGGTGAGCACGGTGACCCCTTGACCACCATCGAATAGAACCTTGAACAGCGGCAGCTCCCATAGCAGCGAGGTAGATCTTAATGAGGAGCGAAGCTCTGTACGAGCTGTGAGACCAAAGTCGGTGATACCCTATCTCGGATGTCAGTATTTTCAACGGGGCTACGGCACATGATTTTATGTAAACGTACCGGCTGTGATACCGAGACCGGCATTGAAATAGTAGAAGATGGAAAAGAGGGCCGTCTTCAACTGGAGGTCGATCCAGTATGTGCTGATTAATCCAGCTAAAGGAATGAAGAGAATGAAGGTAGTGTTGAGCCAGTTTACATGCTTGTACCAGTTGCTCCAGGTGATAGGAAGTTCTGTGATATGCGGTTTCTTCAAGTCGTATTTGGAGGATCGTAACGGCTTGTAGTCCTTGGTGCCGTCAGGAAATGCCGGGGCGGCAACAGGCCCTGAGGCGTCCGTCGAGACGGAAGCCATGGCTGCAAATCGATCGATGCTGAGATGGAAGGGTTGAATCAGCAAGGGCCCCCAGGAGATCGATAAAAAGGAGTATCGAATGGGTGAACGACGACGAGGTTGGGGGGGTTTAAGAGGGGAACAGGAAGAGAAGAGGAAGATGTGGGAGGTTAAAAAAGATATATTTATTATTATTGGAAGTGGGTGTGTAAGTGAGTGCCTAGTGGGAAAGGCTGTGGTAAGGTATTGGGATGGATGTAGGTACAAAGTGGATATGGGGGACCAATCGGTGGGACGTACGAAGTACAACCTTGAAAACCCCTGGGCGCTGGATGGCTGAAGGCTTGGATGGAAGCTCGGGTGGACGGGTGGACGGGTGGACGGGTGGCGGATAGGTATATTCAAAGTACCTATTCGAGACCCCGGTCAAACCTAGATGAATCTTGTCTGTAAGGGTGAGTCTAGGTTGCGCGTCGGGTACCGATGAAGAACTTTGTCCCCAACTCGTTCCTGAAGCTCCGTATCTGTAGGTATCTCGCTGGAACCTAAAGCGGTGTATGCTTCTTAGATGATTTGTTGCTCAAAGAATGCCTTAATGTACTTGTTGGAATAAAAGTGACAAAAGTCATTCGACTGGAACGTTGGAACGTCTGATAGTCGGTCGATGGATTATATTATTTACTCAACTGTTAAGTAAAGATGTGTTTGCGTTTGCGTTCGCTGCTATCGACTAAGAGAAAAAAACAACAACAAAAAGATTCACCAGTCTTATTAAAATAACGAAAAGATGGAGAAACCCATCTGGTCCCTGGAATCAAATTGAATAGTAAAAATAAGTGACTATCAACTTGTTACGCAGTGCGAAGTACGTATCCTTATTTTGTTTTGTTATTTCTTCTTCCCTTTTCTGCACCCTTCTTGGATTTTGCTCAATCTGATAGGCAAAATGAGAGTTCTACATTGTATGTGAAAGGTGGTGGGAAAGGGAAGGAAAATGTGTTACACGTACGCGGGGTGATAAAAAGCACAAAAACAACGAAGTACCTTACAGATACAATGCTACCCCTAGTCCTTCCGAGGTACCTACCTTATCCGTTGTGCATTCCTTCTTGTCGCAGGCGACTTCCATCTCTTGTGTGTCATTTGAAAAAAGCTGTTTGAAATTTGTTGAATTGTTGGGGAAGTCACCATAGTGGCGGTTTCGAAGCCGCAAGAGTAGCATCCAATCAGATACTGCGAAACTTCAAGGGTCTTTCCTCTTTTGGTGATATTCTAGAGACCCACTGTTTATCATCACCAAAGTTCCCAAGTACATCAATACATAGGTACCTACCAAGGTAAACACAACACAAACGTGGATCTTACATAGTACACTCCATGATTATCTTTTGCCAACAACAAAATAATTTTCCAGACGAAAATCAACGCCACCTGCGTTTTCATTCGTGTTAACCTCGGCACCCGCCGCTAGACGTGTAACACGTAAGAAATACCAGATAAATTCATACTACACGTACTACACATACTGTACAGTTTACACAGTAGTAATGTGCATTCCCTACATACCTAAGGCTGCTAGGTACTCAAAAATATCGGGTGGCCCTTGCATAAGCTCGGAGTTTTCAGGTACCACGGAAAACTCTTTGACATAAGCTCCCCCTCTTCAGCCCATTCCGCAGGGCTTACCTACGCCAATCAATCTTCTCGCAACTTTGGTGTGCCACAGTATACGTAGGTACCTTGTACGTACCTAACCTACCTCGATGTTGGCAAGCGAAATCCGGGTAGCCGGCATTGGTTCGTTCAAGCTTTCGAATTTCGAATTAGATGCCATTAGGTTGGCAGTCGAGATTTATTACTCCTGGAGGTAGGTATCATGATTTGTACGGAATATGAGTAAAATTAACTACGAGCCAAGGCGAATCTTACTTACCCATTCTTCAAGCGAATTGAATCACTCACAACATTGAGTTATGTATGTACATAATGTATCATAGATCCTGCTACATGCACGTTCTAGCCACACTTCCCCACATCATGTAGATCCCCTTAGGCCGTTCAGCCGTTTTGGCCCTACATACCAGGTACCTAGGTAGTACCCTCTCTTTTCCAGTCCCCAACAAAAGTGGCATGTACTTACGTACCTACACTACGTGTATGTAAGGTTTATTCTGCACCTATCGCAAGCTCCGCGGTGGGGCCGCCGGGAGAGAGGAATCTCTTCTAATCGGGCAAAGATAATCGCAATACCCCCACATCTTCTAGAACAACTTTAAACTCTCTTTAAGAGACTTGATTGGATACTTTTGGCATTGTTATAGATGTACCAAGAAGGGAAAAACTACGCCACTTTCTGCTTTATACGCCCCGTATCTTGGGGCGGATCTTTTTTTTTTTTTTGCTGAGCCTCTTCATGTCCTCTAGGCTTAGGCCAACCGTTTGTCGAGTCGCCTTCTAACATAAGTACACTATCATATCCGATCGATAGGAATAGTTGAGTTGATTATGTAGGTAGGTAGCTAAGACATCTGTGTGTACTAGTGGATTACTTTGACTACCTAGATTGGAATCGAAAGTAAGCATCGAGCTGGCGACTGTTTTAAGTAATAAACCCCGTACACTAGTAATCTACAGTAATACCTCCTCTTTCCAAGATCGCAGCAGATCACGATACAATTCGATACCTAGGTATTTATAGGATGTGATTGGTTAGTACTGGTAGTGTTGTTCGTCAGAGGGGAAGTGAGTAGTGAGTCTACTCTATACACTATACTCTATACACTATACTCTATACACTAATAAATAGTATACCATTAGCAGGTCTCGGATTTGGAAAAGCAGCAAGACCAGGAAAGCTACCTGGCGTCTGAGTAATAACAGAGGTTATCTGACCTTAGGTATACCTGTCACATGATATCAGGTATCTATTCGTCTCCTGGGGACCAAATTGCTAAAATAACGAAGCACGAAGCGCCGAAAGCCGATTCACGGCTTTGCCAGCGAAACCACTAAGGCGTCCCCTCACTCACTTATCGCCAACACTTCTCTTACACCATTTATCGACATTCTCATCTCGTACCATCATCAGACGACGCCCTGCTCCATCGACTGATTGCCCTCGCCAGAAAAGTAAGGAGTCACTAATAGCAAATAGTGTAAACTTCCGTTCTGAGATCTGTTGGGTAAGTATACACTTTCATGTCATCAACACATACACTACCTACCTAGGTACCTAGTCCTAGGTCACCACATATGTAATGATCACATACCTTAGACAGACAACTCTCGATCGCAACTTATCAAAGACGCCAATCCATCGTTTTCTCCGGGGGACATATATATTTACCAACTACATGATGTTAACGTGTGTACAAATATGTTAGACCCGAGAACCCACCACCTCTTATCCCATCCTCCATCCTCCATCCCCCTATCTTCTAATCATCATTTCCACTTCATACCCATTCGCCGTCCCCGATACATTAAATATCTTATCGTTAAGCTTAAACAAAAACGTTATGGCAATGCTGTACTATCTATTGTACAAAAATGTTTTTCCCCGACTCGCTGTCCCCCTAACGTAGAAAATATGGTCCACCGCTCGCAGACATTCGTGGCACCCGGATATTCCCAAAAACCTTCCTTCAAAAAATTTGCATATGCAATGCATAACTCCTCGCGCCTTTCTGTATGTTTATGTACATGAATAGCTACTCGCAGGTGTGTTGACATATCAATACAACCTTCTCAGGCTTGAGATGTCACGTTCGTTGCTGCTGTGGCTGTAGTTGTCGTAGCAAGACCCAAATCATCATCTAAGGTCATCTTTCGAATTTCGTCATGATCGTATTTTGATCCAACACCCGTCAGTTCAGTTGGCATACCCTGAGGAGGGGACTCGGGTGGTTGGAAAGATGACGTCGCCGTTGACTGCGTCGATACGTCTCTGTCGTGCGTATAATGTTGGAACGACTCGGATTCTTTATCTCCATCTGCATGTGGATGAATAGCTTCATCAATCTGGGAATGGACCGGAATCGTGGTTGTATGTACGCCCCCTGGTGGTTCGTTAGGCTGTGCTATCGCGAGCTGCTCCAGGGCGTCGTCTTTGGAGCCGGACCGCGGATTTTTCAAACTACTCTCTTCACCTAGAGCATTGCTTGTATGGGTATCACCGAGAGTAATGGCTGCTGTACCTGTGACAGGTAGAGGCAAGGCTCCTTTGGTATTCTCATCGTCAATCCTAATCGCATTATTGGCGCTAGTTACCGACGCGGGCACCTTCGTCTGGCTTTCGTTGCCAGTCATCTGAGCCAGTCCCGCCTCTAGATCTCTTTGCACTTCTTCAAATATCTCTTCCGGCGCCTGCATCCTCCTGGGTGTCTCGGCGATCTCCTGTCCCAGTTCCAGGCCAGCGGTATATGGGTCCATAAAATTAGTCCACATGTCGTGTTGTTCCGTGTACGGCGGCCTATACATGTTGTGATCGCTGGGCAATGACCTGGCTGGGGATCTTCCCCTCGATGGATAGTATTGGTCAACGGACAAGTCTGTTGGTGCAACATGTGTATTACTAAATGAGGTGTACGGCCAGACATCTCGAAGCTGAGCCGCTTTGACGTGTGGATGGCCGTTATCTTCGTAGCCGTCTACTGTGTATTCCCGTAAGGAATTTCCATCGTCGACAGAAATTGACGGCAGATCGTGCTTATCATAATCGTCGCTGTATACAGGCTGTGGGAACAGCCTAAGCAGTATGGAGGCCTGGACTCGGACACGTGGATCCTCGTGTAAGCAGTATTCTACCATCGTGCGATACCAATCCGGGACATCGATTTCGGAAGCTAATCGGAGCGGCCGTCGATGTGCTTCCGGCTCATCTTCCAGAGTCGCGAGTGCCCACAATACCATCCCTAACTGATAGAGGTCAGACTTGACCCCGATATACATCGATATCCGCTGGTTGCTATCGATAAGTGCAGTTGCCTCCGGAGGTTCCCAGCCCACCGGACAGCCCCGTCGGTTGATGTCTATTATTTTTGCATTATCTTCATAGTCAATGACGATGTTAGAAAGCGTAAGGTCACCTTGCACAAACCCGGCTTCGTGGACGTCCGATAACCCTTGAACGATTTGTCTTGCCCACTTCTCTCGGAGGGACCATGGGAGAATACGGCCATCCTCTTGAGAATCGTAGATAAGGTCAATGAGCGCACCCTTTTCTGCGTAGTTGATGAGTAGGCCCTTAACCATCTCGTCTTCATCATCAACTATCACACCATAAAATTCAATGACGTTTCTGGAGAAGTGTAAGGAGTTAAGGGCGTTGACTTCGTAGAGGAACTCGTCCACTGTGTCTGGCCCTGGAATCTCTTTCTTGATGAGTGTCTGTCCAGCGACACGAACCTTGTAGACGAACCCCGACATATGGGACTCGAACGCTAGATCTCTCTCCCTGACACGCCGGCATTTTAAATGCTGGATCATACGAACGGTGGGGTAGTTTATGATCTCCTACATGGATTACATTATTAGTAATTTACTGTGAGTTTACAAGAGGGCAACCCACGTTAACGTCTTCCACTACATGGACGTGCAACCTTCCTTCAGTAGTCTGCAACTTCAGGTTGGTGACAGTGGAATAAAACTGGATATCTTGAAGGCTTTCGCGTATAGCTTCATATATCTTGGCACTCTTCTCCCTTTGGAACTTGATCTGGAGTAGGTCCTTCTCCAGAGAATCGTCTGGAGCGTTTCGATAATCCAGAGATATAGTGACTCGCCTCCATACGGACTCATGCTCGCGGTAAGTGACGAAAAACTTCTCCCTCTTAGACTTATCTCGGAAGTGCATACTTAAATTCAGGATCCATTTCCGCTCTAGCTCGTCATTGATCATTGCATCATACTGAGACGTCGTAGTGGACTGAACATCAACAGGCGATAAAGCTTCGAGATAGCTAGGCGCAGGTTGGAGTAATTCACGGTTTTCCCTATCTAGATTGGCGCTGTTGACGCTGTTGGTATCTTGGAGACTTAAGAACTGTTTCTCATCGAGGGGGCTCTCAGAAGCCGACAATACTTCATGCGATACCACGGTAGGAGGGCCAATGGAAGGCTGCGTGTCTTCGAAGAAGAAGTCGGGCGCGCTTGCACGTGGCAGGGGTTCGTTTGTGCGAGAGAGACTACGTTGAGTGCGCAATCGCCTGTCGACGGAGACAGCCCTGCGTTCCGCTGACGTAGGCTGTATCGCCTCAAGCTTCTCCCTCACCTCGGACTGCTGCCTCTTAAAAGTTTTGACGCGGGGCAACCCGGGAACCACTTTTCTCGACACCTTCCGCAACAAGCCCGAGGTTGGCGAACAATCCAGAGATGTCCTAGATTCTTGGTCAGACGATACCGACGATGTTAGCGTGCTATCCTTTCCAAGTAACTTTTTCAAGATGGAGGCCAGTCTACCGGTGTCCGATGTTGGCGGCGGTTCGCGCGAAGGCATATCTGCCGTTGCTGCCATGGCGGCGATCATTGAGAAAGGCGAGCCCTATCGTTCAAGCTTCATGGACCTTGTCTATTTTAGCAGTATCTGCTACTTTAGGTAGGCAGGGCAAATGAAAACCTCACTCAGGTGAGGCAAAAGGCTTCGATGGATCCACGACTGAGGAGCTGCGGGGGCAAATGTTGCGGGACGAGACAGCGATATCAAAATAATTGAGGCTCTGGTTCGGCGGCGATCCTTAGTTCCAACGGAGCTGAACCTGTAGATGTATTGGATTCCGGGGCAGCTTAGGTAGAATCTGTTTGAGGGCGGGGGATTAGATGCAAGAGGTAAGGCGTAGCGGGCCCTATCAAACAACCGAAGATTGCAGCTAATGCGAGATATAATATCGTATAACTAGTGGAGGAGAATGATCATAGCAACCTTGAATGCAGACCGACCCAACATCTAATGGGTGGAATGAGGTAGAAAAGATGCTCAGCAGCGAGGCTGTCAAGACCTTATTGGCAATTGACGATGATGGCGGCTCCTATGTGCCGACATGAGCGACAAGTAATGCGCGCGTGTTATCTAGCCTGCAGCCCTTTTTTTTTTTTCCCTTTCTTTTTCTTCCTAAGAATGAGGTATGATTCCTTTCCGTCTAGCTGCGACTTAAACTAGGTAGGCGACATGCAGGAGATATGCAAAGCAGAAGTTATCCTGGAAACCTCCGCTTTCGGGGTATAGGACGATATAGCCATTTGAAATTGAAAAGTTGAAGAGAGCAGAAAATTGAGCGAATATAGAAATTGGAGACGGACCGGTGTTTCTACTTTCTACAACGAGTGACGAAGGCGCATCGACGTCGTACCTTCCCCCCCTCCACTCCCTCCTCGAAGACCATATTTAGGTACCTACCATATTATACCTATACCTCTACCTATACCTCTATACTTATCTCATTGTACAGTTGTACACAACGAAGCTCTCCCGCGGTGGACAACGCAGCACGGGCAGGCACAAGCATAAGAAAAACTACACTAACAGGTCATACATGTACAATACCAAGAACGTCCACGGGTATTAACCTAAGCTGTTTTTAGCGGTACCGCTAGCTTAGCGGGTTCCCTTCTTTTTTGCCATGGATCAGGGTTGTGTCATTGTATCACTGTATTGGCTCAGGGGTTCTGTTTGGGTCTCGCTTGGCTCAAACATGATCTCGCGGGGCTGAGGTAGTGTAGGAGGACTAAAAATGGGTGATGTACATACATACAATACCTAGTACATACATTAGAGCTTCTTTAATATTTTATTTTCTCGTTTTCTCGTTTTCTCGTTTTCTCGTTTTCTCGTTTTCTCATTCGCCCCGCTCCATTTTACTTCTTTCCTATATTCCAATTCGTTTCTTCTCTATGACATCCTATCAATTGCGGGTTGAACTGTTATTCGAGACCTATCCAACGTTCCCTCAATTGGCAGCGGGAAACACTTATACGCGTAGCTCGTCAGACGGTAACATGCAAGGTAATGCTTTTGTGGAGTTATCAACTAAAGGACTGGTCTACAAGTAAAATCCAGTGGTGGAGGGGTTTACTTTGGCCAATTCGGATTCGACATAAGCAACCCTCTCATATCTTATTAGTCCCCTAAAATCAGCCATGCCGCTATGGTCCCCTTTCCGCTTGGTTGCTTCGTTGCCTGTGGGGGGTCTGCTGGGCCATTGAACCCAAGTCGGGAAAATCAGGATGATTCATTGATGTGTTGTACAACGATGTTAGTGGCCGATCCCAAAATGAGGGGTGTCCGGGTCAAATTCTGGAATAAGGGGGATTAGGGGACGAAATCGTATGTGGGAAGACATTAATACAAGGTTAGGTAGGAGGTAGCTAGTTGATACGCAAAACTTCTGTCGCAAGTAGGTATCAACGTATAATACCATCATAAGCCATCCTATAACTAGCCCTACTTGGTTCTTCAAAAACCATGTGAGGTATGTATTGTTGATACCCGATGGGCCCGGGCTTATCCTCGATCGCCTGGCATATATTTCTTCGCAAGGGATTATAATCTTATAACCGCTTAGGCATAGTATTATCAAAAACATTCAACTACATAGTAGTCTCAGTTCAAGCTACAAATGACCCGTAACGTCTCTCAAAATTGGCGCCGCATGCAGTATTGCAGTATATGTATGACTTCACTTACACGTGGAGGTCCCTTGAAGGATGAGTCCATCCTCTCTACATACGCACAGCATGAGCCTACACCGCTATCCTATTGTATTCACCGACTTTGCATTGCAACGGTATCGAGTCTTACAGAAAAAATAATCACTTGATAACATACTATATACATATTTGACAACTGTATCGTACGTAGTATGTTAGGTAAGACTCTCAGTGAAGCATACTGTACCTAGGGAGTTAGCATCCCAGGATCTTCCAGGCTCGCGAACTTGACAGGTCACAAATCGAGAATAGTCTTGTCTGCCAACGTTGCCCTAACCGCAAGACCGGCCCGAAGCTAGTGCAGCAGCCATCTGCTTATCGACATCGTCGTTTGGTCATGTGGACCGAACGAAAGTTGAAAGGAACTGCACATACAATGGCTTCGTGGCTAAAACACTTGTGAGAAGTACATCATCAAAGCGGCACTTAACTGAGTGGCTCATATGTACGAAGTATAATACGAAAAAGTAAGAAGGGATGACGTAGGAAATATAATAGCGATCCCCGAGGGAGAGACGAACTGGTTCGCTTAAGCCAGTTCATCAGCATAGAGTGTATGAAAAGAAATGCCTTATAAGTTAGAAATATTCTTAAAAAAACGGGGACTCTTTCCTTATTTTTTTTTCCCTTTTTTTTCGCTCCTCGTCTTCTCTGCTTACCCCTGCCGATGAAAACCGTGATGGATGTGTTGTTTATACCCCCCGGGAAAAAAATGTCGTCAGCCTACGCTAGATCATAAGTACAGCTTTAGGTAGGGCTGGCCCCCCCTAGTCCCCAAGGCCAAGATCCCGCTTCGATCCCTAATCCGCTTCTGCCTACTTCAGAAAAAGCCACTTGATATATACCCGGGCAAGCAACCCCCCAGTTGCTATGTCAATTCTACATAGTATAGATATGTATGTCCTTCCTCCCGGGTGCTACCCAATCTCAGACCGCGTTATTCCAGCCGTTGGCACCACGCGACTTGGCTACTTAGTAGAACCTGGTAGGTGTGTACCTAGGTAGTCTGTTACCTACCTTCGTTCGCCCGGAAAGGAGAGAGGTGCTAGAATTGGGCAGCGATACATGCGATAGCTAAGGTACCTCTAAGCAACGTAAGTTGGAGAACAACACAACGCAAACAGCGCAGAACGGGAAAAAAGCGAGGCTACTGCTTCGAAGATAACAGGTAACTGGCCAACAAATCGTCATGCCCGTATATCCATTATAAGAGGACGTCCAATACATTACCTACTCCCTGCATTATACCCGTCCTGCCCCCGTTGGTGGTTCCAATTCGCGAATAGTATGTGTTTCCCATGGCTAACCAAGAGCACCGAGCCACTCGTTGCTTCGGGACCTTACTGATCAGAATGCACCTCATCATCAAAATTTGCCTCGTGCATGAGAAATATCTCATTTTTCATTTCTTTCTTTTTTTTTTTCCCCTCCGTCGTCGGTTCCTGCTGGGGCGACGCAATCCCCATGAGCTTATCCCAAGCGAGAAAAAGGTGAAATAAACAGGATCTAACGGGTATCATCTACTGCAAATATTACTCGCTCCTAATCCCCCAAAACTTTTGCTCTTCTGGCTCGTGTGGGAGTCCGCCCGGCAAGATCAAGCGTATCTCGCCCTGCATTGGTTCCCGTGGCTGAATGGATTCGCCTTGCCGGCTCGACACCAACCCCCCCGTCGATTATCAATTGCTCCAAGTCATACATACACCTAGCATATATAGATAGTACCTACGCACATCATCATCCTTAAGTGAGCACGTAGCCAGTTGCCTACCTAGGTACCTAAACTAAACTTACGCGAGCAATCGAGGTGGTCAGCAAAGTACCCCTAGCAAACTTAGTCCCCCTCGACACAGAACGACGCCATGATAGGAACGGCAGAAAAGAAGAAAAAAAGCAGGAATTGACTTCTTACCGTGTCTTGTGGCTTTGGAGCCCAATTCTACTCTAACCCTCTCTCTACCTATTCTATCTACATACCTATCTCCCACCCAGTCTCCATGTCTCAGGGTTGCATGATGCCACCACTCCAATATCAAACCCCAAACCCAAATCGTGGGGTGCGCCAACCGCCGTCCCTCCCTCCCCCCAGAAGCGCGGCATAATGTATACATACCTACCAGGTAGGTTGCATGGGGCACATGTCGACTTTTTTTTTTCTTCCACGACGCCTCCTTTGCTTTTTACGAATGACGCTAAAGACTCAGACTATTATACGGATATGCGCGCTCGGCTCGAATGGGGTTCTCTATAACAAGAAGCCACAGCGACACAGCGCCCCTTGGCGCGAGCTTTTTTATTTTCCATCTTTTATTCTTTTTTTTATCACGAATAGGCCTCACTTCCTCACCATTTCGTACTAATCATATAAGGTATGATGGCATGAGACATATCACCTAACTAGCGTTTCTAACGGGTTTGGTAATAGTTTTTTTTTCTTCTTATGTCTGACCCTTCAGTAAATTTTTCCTTTTTCCTTTTTCTTGGTAACCTACCTTAACTATTGTAAGATAGCCTAAGTAAAAGGGAAAGGAAAAAAGGGGGCGAGCGTGCCGTGCTCTGCCACCCGTCCACCCGTCTAATATGCTCATGAGACGGGAAGAGTATGTGGGTAGATCGTATGATACAAGTTGTAATGCTTTCGAAAATATGTGAGGAGTGAGGGGGTACATTTTATGATTGGGTTAGCTTCCAAGCCGGTTCGTCGAGTTGTCGTATTGCCGCCTAAACGCCTCCCCGATGGCCCAATCCCGCAGATGTATTACTGTAAAAAAAAAGTCTATGGAAAAATATGCAAGTTGACGAAGGGGTTATGGGGAGTGCACCCGTCACTCCACTCTCCGCATCATCTCCTATTCGTCGTGGTCGCCCTCGGATTTAGCGTCGTGCTCCTTAGATTCGCTGATCTTGCTTCGATTCGCTTGCTCCCTGTCTAAGTTGGGGAAGACGACCTCAAAAATCTCGTTGTACCAGCTGGCTGGACGGCCCTCGAGACCCTCCTTGATGTTCTGCACGATAATGTCAGTCTAGACTGTCGCCTCGGAATGTTATTTTGAGTTAGTAACACCCACCTCTGGAAGTTCGAGCCAGTCGGACATATTGTCCGCTGGGAAAATGATCATCTTGCAGCCAGCCCGCCTCGCCGCGACGGTCTTCTCCCGCAGGCCCCCTATCCTGAGGACCTTTCCAGTTAACGTAAGCTCTCCAGTCATGGCGATCGTGGGGTTGACAGGCGTCTCTAGTGCCAATGATAAGAGCGATGTCGCCATGGTCACGCCGGCCGATGGTCCGTCCTTCTGCACTGCGCCTTCAGGCACGTGCACGTGAATTTTCGCCTTGTCAAAGAAGTTATTTTCCGGGAACTCCTTCGCCATAAGCGCCTTGGCAAAGGAATAAGCAATTGCGGAGGACTCCTTCATCACGGTCTTGAGGTTACCCGTGATTTCCAACCCTGCACGACTACTAGGTCTTAAGGCAGATTGGAGAATGGACTCTATGTACATCGCGGAGCCGCCTAGCTGGGTCCATGCAAGACCCATAGCAACACCAGGTGGTGTCACGTCGTATAGACGATCGGAGGTGAATATCGGAGGACCAACATAATCCTTCAGGTTCTCCTTGTTGATCACGACGTGAACAGAGTCAGGCACCTTTAGGGGCACGCGAGGCTTCTCCGAGGTTTCCTTCTCGGATGCTTCGGGAGAAGTCGGATCGCGGTTCTCTTTCTCTTTCTCCTTTTCCTTTTCCTTCTCTGCTTCTTCTAAAGCGGCTTTTCCATCTTCTGTTAGAGCTGCCGACTCAGGAAGGACATCCTCTCCCAATTCTTGAACAATCTTCAGAGCTGACTTTCTGTAGACCTTTTCGATCTGCTTTTTCAAGTTTCGAACACCTGACTCGCGGCAGTATGACTTAATCAACTCATCGATAGCATCATCTGTTAAAATGACATCTGCATCCTTCAACCCGGCGAGCTCCTTAGCTGCAGGTGCTAGGTATTTGTCCGCGATGGCTCTCTTCTCGTCCGAAACGTAACCCGAGAGTCTAATAACTTCCATACGGTCCAATAGAGGTCTGGGTATAGTATCGGTCATATTTGCTGTACAGACAAATAAGACTTTAGAAAGATCAACGGGGACATCCATGTAGTGATCCAAGAAAGAACCGTTCTGTTCTGGGTCGAGTAGTTCTAGAAGAGCCGACGAGGGGTCGCCTTGGTAGCCTCGGCCAATCTTGTCAACCTCGTCGATTAAGATCAGAGGATTCTCAGTTTGACACTTCTTTAAAGCTTGAATGACTCGTCCAGGGAGGGCACCGACATACGTTCGTCGATGACCTTTAATTTCAGCCACATCTGTAAGACCACCTACACTGAATCTGTAGTACTCTCGGTTTAAGGCCCTAGCGATTGACTTTCCTATACTGGTCTTGCCAACACCGGGGGGTCCCACGAAACACAAGATCTTGCCCTCGACAGTACCTCGGAGCTTACCGACTGCGATGAATTCCAGAATGCGATCCTTAACATCTTTCAAGCCGTAATGGTCCTCGTCTAGAACTTTCATCGCATTCTGAATTGCAAAGTTCTCCGCGCTTCGTTGTCCCCAGGGAATCTGTGTCAACCAGTCCAAATAGTTCCTCGTTACGTTAAACTCAGATGCAGCAGGTTCGAGATGAGCGAGCTTGTTGATTTCATCATCGAATACCTTTCGAACGCCTTCGGGCATCGCCAACTTGTCGGCCTTCTCCTTGAACTTTTCGACTAGTTTATCCTTACCGTCAGACTCGATACCCAATTCACGGCGAATACCTTTCATCTGTTCCATAAGCCAGTATTCCCGTTGCCGCTTCGTAATCTTCTGCTCCACATCCTTAGTGATCTTTGATTGAAGCTGGGCGTTCATCAGTTCTTTCTTCAAGACGACTAGAGCCTTTTGCATCCGCTCCTCGACATTGAGACTAGCAAGGACTTCTTGTAGTTCCGCGGGCTCCCCAGCAGATACCGCCGCGGCAAAATCAGCCAATTTTGCCGGTTCTGTAACAACGTTTCCTGTAGATTGACTCATAGAGAAAGTAGATATTTGATCCCTAAATAAGCTGTTCATCGAGGCGACCTCCTTAAAAACATTTACGATTTCGTTTGTCACCGCACGAATAACGGGGCTTTTAGGATCAAACGGTTCTTCAGATAGGTTTTCCACGTTTACAAGGCTGACTGGATACTTGCGCAGGAATGATGTTGGCTCATACTTCTCCGCCGTAGAATCGGACTTGGGAGCGACAGCGCTCTCTTCGAAGCTCGCAACAACGTCGCCCTTCTTCTCTTGTTGTGGTTCCTCTTCTACTTTAGGGGGTATCGGTTCGGGTGTAGGTTCCGCCTCAGAATCAGCTTTCTTGGGTTCATTGGTGGTGCTAGGGGGTATTAAGGTGGAGAGTTTTATCCGGCGATGGGGGTATAGGATAGCCGTGAGGCTATTTTGCTCTCCGTGTACTGGGAACGCGCTCGTAATTTGCGCAAAAACACCAATATCGTAGACATCAGACGGGTCCCTAATTATGTCCTCGTCTGCGTTTTCATCTTTGAATAAGAATGCGCCAACGTAAGGTTGGCCGCGCTTCATCATATCCAAGATCGCAGCAGACACATTAGGGTCCTTAATTGTAATCGCCTTGTAGAATCCCGGGAACAGAGGTCGCTTCGCTATCGGTATGGCCATAACTTGGGGATATACGTCGGGTACGACAGGTTTCTGCAGCGCTTTGTCGGCTGTCGACCTTCGACCTCTTCGGCCTCCGTCTCCAGGCGCATCACTGCCAGATCCAGACGATGCGCCTCCCGCCGCGCTGCTTGCCTTTCCGTCCTGCGATTCGCCTTTGCCGTCCTGGTTCTTTGCATTAGAACCTTTGGCTTCGCTCACTTCACTTTTGGACTCCTCCGTCGTCTTCTTCTTCTCCGAGTTTGCCTTCGCCTCTTCTTCTGATAATGGCTCCACGGACCCGTCGAAGAATCCATTGTCTTTTTTCTCTTTTCTAGTGAGGGGGGTAGTAGAAAAGTTTGTCCTCAGTAAAGCGCCGTGCCTCGGAGCTATCGTCGGTCTTGAGCACGCGATCGCAGGTTCGTTTAAGTTATTGGTATTATTTATTGAGTAATGTCGTGATGCTAAAGAGGGTCGGAGCCTCGATACGAAGCTTGAGGAGCCCCTCGCGACGAGTTGCCGCGATAGGCGTTGTCGACACAACATCGTCAGGAAGCTTATAAGAGAAAATTTCGTCGAGGCGGCGGGTGGTATAGCCGGGGAGGACCGAAGCTTAGTACAAAATGCGAATTTGCAAGTTTACCTTACTTGCACAAAATAAAAAAGGGTTTCCTCCGGTCTGATATTAAGAAAATGGAATAAGAAAAGAAAAAATTGAGTAGTGACTAAATTACAGAGAGGAGGTAGGTATGTATTATGGCGATAATTAGGCCTTAGGGAACAATTACGTACCCAAGTATTGCCTTGTCGCCTCGTCTGAAAATCTAGGTTGGTATTAGACGATAACCTCGATTATCGCCTTAGTAATTGAAGTAGAGCTCACAAACATACCTAGTACCTACTATGTATTTCAACAAAATACATCATCGCTTGCTAAGCTGCCCTCCCTCATTTTGCTTTAGCCTCTAGCCTCTAGCCACAGCTGCGGGACACCGGAGGTAGCGGTTAACCCAGATAGGTTAATCACTTTATCACCCAGTGGCCACTAGAAAGACTAGAAGGTACTATGGATATTTTACGTTAGGTAATCAGGTAATTTGGCAAAACTCACCTGTACCGGATAGAAGGATATACAGCTTTATATTACAACCGAGTAAATCTTCTATCTGCACATCATTGCCATGAAACCAGAACATTAACAACCTGACCGACCGAGATTCAGTTCCAGTTCTTGTTCCTGTTTCTGTTTCGTTTGTCCTAATCTTACATCCGTGAAGCCATGTCCACATCTCCCCCTCCTTCTCCTGCCCGATCCCCTATCCAGAGAACCCAGCAAAGAAGATCCAACAAAAAAACCGTAACTCCAAGGCGGCCCTCATTTCCACCAACCAACAATCCAAAGGCATTCCCAACGTTTCCCCCAACTTAATTTAACATTGCTTAATCATCGTTCAGAATGCTGTATCGAGAATACTTATTATTCCCCACTCCTTCTCCTCCTCCTAGCCCCTCCTCCGCAATCTTCCCACTAACATTCCTTCTCCACGCGCCCGCGATCCCGCTCCCCAAGTCGCCATAATCGTTTCCAGACGAGACTTGACGATTCCCTCCTCCTGCTGCTGTTTTGCCACCGATCATGACGGGCGGCGTGGCGGGCTTCAGTTCGCCGTAGGGCTTAGCGTAGAAGTCGCCGTCCGGCTGGATCGACGAGTCCCTGTTGCGCCCGCCACCGCTGCCGCCTTTCGGCACGATCAAGCTGCGGCGCCAGAAGGAGGGCGCTCGTGCCGTATTACTATTACTACTGCTGCTGTTGTTGTTGTTGCTGTTGGCCTTCTCGTCGACGATGTCCCGGCTAACGCTCGCGCTATGCGCGTTGTGGCTGGCCTCCTGGAACGGCGTCTTCTGCCTATTCTGCACGAGCTGCGGCTGCCCCTGCGGGGTCGGGTTCAGCCGCAGCGGGTTCGGCCGCAGGTGGCCCATGACGTCGATGGGGCTGCTGGGCACGTCGTCGGCCTCGAAGTCGGAGTCGTCCGGGCGCATCATGTCGTTGTTCTCGCGGTCCGAGAGTTCGTCTTCCGAGTCATCGAAGTTGTATCGCTGATTTACGGCCTCGTACTGCTGGGATTGGAACTGGGGCAGGGACTTGGTTTTCCGCGCTCGCTCGGCGGCGTTTAGGGCCCGCTGCCGCTCCTGCGTGCGGTTGATAAGGGACTCGGAGGCGTACCACGCTTCGGTGAACTTGGCGATGCGGGTTGGGGATGCGTTGGTGGGTTGGTGAGGGGAGGGAGTTGGAGCGAGGGTAATGCTGCTGGGCCGGGATGAGGAGGCTGGCGACTGTGCGCCGGTCTCGTGGAGTGGGAACTCGGTATAGCTTGCACGCTGAGCGACTTGCGGGGTGGATAGGCGTTTCAGTTCCGCAACACTATCGCGGGGGGAGTTGCCCGGTGTGATTTGGTACTGTCTGCTGGGGAGATCGCATCGCGAATCACGCTTCGACGAAGCAAAAGAGTCTCTAGAACCGGCGCGCGTGTGCATGAAGGGGATACTAGGTGGTCGCGAGTGGCGATAGCTTTCAAAGGGTGAATCAAGGCGTTCAGAGCCATCCGAGACTGCAGTGTAGCTGGTTGCGACGGACGACTTGTTGCGTTTGTGTTGTTTAACGCGAGAAGTAAGATGGTCTTCCAATGGATTGAAGTCCGGCGGCATACTAGCGATTCGCCGAAACATCAAACACAACCAAATCGATATACCAAGCGAGATGACGTGCAGGCTGCCGGCGCTGATGAGCGTGAAGTACTCGCTCTGGACTAGGTAATCGGTAAGTACGGGAGAAGCCGTTATGATAAGTTCCCACTCCTCGCCGTGGTTGACAACTGAGATAATGCCGAAGGCGTATAGTGGTAGAACAGTTAGGTCCGTAACAGCAGCGAACATCTGGTAGGCTGCCGACGAACCAGGTGGTCTTGATCCGGCGGGTCTTATGAGATGCCAGATGGCGTAGATACAACTGATGACTACAACACCGGGCTAAATATCGGTGTAAGCAAAGAATGTCCATATGAATACCTAACCTTAGGTAGGTTACCCAAGGTACAGAAATGTGTATAAAACGTACTGTGATTCTCATAACCCAAGAAACAAAAGGATCAACATTGGTGATTAGTATCATGAGGGTAAGTAAACAACCACCTCCAATCATTTCTAGGATGCGAAGGAATAATTGAACATATCTCATGAACTTGACCCACCACTTCGTGGTACTGCTCATAGGTTTGAACATCGAGGTGCGGCCAGTCGGCACCACATGCGCACTTTAGAAGATTAGGTAGTCGATTAGCTTGACTGTTACTCGTGCGTATAAGACATGAATTCTTTTAATCGAGTTTGACTTACTCAGGGTGTCTGTTAAAGGCTAAGAAGGGCCCTTTCTGCTTCTTTCTCTTAGGTTGCGGTTCCCAGCTTGCTCTCGTGATAGCCTTTGGATCGAATGGTTTTTCGGGGGATCGAGAGTCGCGCCTTTCGGCATCGTACATGTAGGGTTGCTGAGCACCCATATCTGCGGACGGTCTCACTTTAACTGGCGGGACTGAGAGACATTCATAGGTATGGGAGTATGAGAGCGGGATTGGATCGTCGGTAGAAAAAAAAAACTGGAATACGTGATCTTATGATTGCGAAAGAGCTGGGAGCGCCATTGGTGTGGGGAAAGAAGTGGGATGTGTAGGTTAGAGGTATGCATACAACACACGCAGGTACAATAACGAATGACTAGGTTGTAACGACTGGGATTGTGTATCGTTATGTATCGTTGTGTATCATTGTGGGCGAGAAACCGGGAAGTTGGCGTTTCCACGGCAACAGGCGGCAGAATAACCAGAATACATCCTTATTGGTACCCAACCGACGGGAACGCAATGCGGCTTCCCTTTTGATAATATTTTACTAAATTACATATTTTCAGCGATGTCCCAATTTTGATTAAGGTGTTTTCAACTCCACGATTACCTAAGGCACTGATATAAGTCCATTTACATGTACCTAAGGTAGTTAGGTAGATTGGAACTCGCCCGGTATTTTGACCTCCGTTGGGTTATTTAGTAATCAGCCGGCGGCTTGCTGGCGGCGATGTCGGACCTCGGAATACCGAGACAAACAACCCGAATTTTCAATTCGACGTCATTTTGATAATTCTCGCCCGCGTTGGTTAATTGTTTTAATACATAATATATAATACAGACAAAACTTCAAAATCTTAACAGATGCAATAACAAACATTTTCTTATTCATCTATTAATTTGTACAAAACACCATGAGGCCTCTAGTAAACTCATGGCTCTACGCAACTTGTCGGCACAGAACTGCTGTGTCCCTTACCACTGGAAGAATATCACGTTATTCGACAGAAAGCCGACGTGACAGGTCCCTCCGAATGGCCATAGTTGGCTCCGGCCCGGCCGGCTTCTACACGGCATACCGGGTCATGAGCAAGGTCCCGAGTACTAAGGTTGATATGTTCGAGGCCCTGCCTGTGCCGTATGGTCTAGTGAGATTTGGCGTTGCACCGGATCATCCCGAAGTCAAGGTACGAATTAAATCAATTACGCTACATATATATCTAGGTACCTGTCTATCAATCTAATAATGGACAGTATTTAATAACTCATGATTTTTTAGAAATGCCAAAAAAAATTTGAAGAAGTTGGAATGTATCTCAACTTCACCTTCATTGGAAATGTCTCTATCGGCAACGCTGGCGGTCATTTTGGTGGCTGCACGATCCCGCTGGCTTCTATGATGAACCATTACGATGCTATTGTATTCGCCTATGGTGCATCTGAAGATAAGCAGCTTGGGATCCCTGGCGAATCTGAGCTGCAGGGTATCTACGCGGCCCGCGAGTTTGTTGGCTGGTATAATGGTTTGCCGGAATACGCAGATTTAGCACCAGATCTCACCCAAGGAGAGGAGGCTGTTATCATTGGCCAAGGCAATGTCGCGCTTGACGTTGCTAGAATGCTCTTGGAGGATGTAGACGTATTACGAAAGACAGATATAACCGAGGCTGCCCTCGAGACTCTGCTAAAGAGCCGCATTAAACGGGTTCACGTCGTGGGAAGAAGAGGACCAATGCAGGTAAGTTTTCATGGAACAGATGAGATCTTCAATTATTAATTGCTCTTTTAGGTCGCCTTCACCATTAAGGAAGTACGAGAGTTGATGAAACTTCGAGGGGTTGCTTTTCACGACGTCGATATGTCGCTTATCCCGAATCAGATTTCGAAGCTACCCCGAGCTCCGAAGAGGCTTATGGAAATGATGGTGAAAGGTTCGGTAACTCAATTGGATGAGGCTGCTAAGTCGTGGTCTCTGGACTTTTGCTTATCTCCAACCGAATTCCTTGGTCGACCTGATGGAAAGATAAGAAGCACAGTGTTTGAACGAACCTCGCTAGCCTCACGCTACGACCCGTCCTCAAGTGTCGTTGGGACTGGTAAGAAAGTGACAATTCCCTCTTCTATAGCATTTCGTTCTATTGGTTATAAATCTGTTGCTCTTCCTGGTTTTGACGAAGCAGGTATCTCGTTTGACGAAAGGAAGGGCGTTATAAACAATGACGGAACGGGACGAGTATTAGGAGTAAGAGACAACGAAAATACTGAGCGTCTAAGACGTCTACCTGGACTTTACTGCGCTGGCTGGGTGAAGAGAGGCCCAACAGGCGTTATTGCGTCGACTATGGAGGACGCGTTTTCTACTGCGAATGCAATTATCTCTGACTGGTATACCGGTGCCCCATTCCTTCAAGGAGAAAGCAGCTCTGGTTGGGAAGCCTTACGGGCAGGGGTAGAGCACGGCAAATGCAGGGTTATCCAGTGGGACGACTGGCAAAAGATAGACAGGGCGGAAAGAGAGCGGGGTTTACCACTAGGAAAACAACGGGAGAAGTTCACGAGCATAACGGAGATGATAGCTGCTGCTGAAAATTAGACCTAGAAAGATAGATACCCTCGCGGGCGATTGTAAAAAAAAATGTATTTATATACCTTAGGTTAGGTAGGCATCTAACCCAGCTTATATACACTTACGAGCTCTTCAACTTCTCCGTTAACTCGGGGACCTTTTCGAATAAATCACCGACTAACCCCACGTCTGCTACTTGGAATATCGGTGCCTCGGCATCTTTGTTAATTGCTGCGATCACCTTGCTGTCCTTCATACCCGCCAGATGCTGGATCGCACCGGAAATTCCGACGGCGAGGTATAGCTGAGGAGCAACGACCTTACCAGTTTGACCAACTTGTAAACTGTTGTCGGCGTAGCCGCTATCTACTGCGGCACGAGAAGCGCCAACTGCGGCGCCCAACGAGTCCGCGAGCGGGAGCATGATCTTGTCGAACTCATCCTTCGATTTTAGACCTCTGCCTCCGGAGACCACTTTACCGGCCGTCGCCAAGTCTGGCCTATCGGATTTGGCCAGATCTTCAGAAACCCATTCTACAGAGATTTCCACGTTAGGGTCTACGCCATCTTCTATCGTCGCGGAGCCACCTTGCGCTTCCGCAGCAGGGAATGCTGTGCCGCGGATAGTAATAAGCTTAATGGGGTCGGAGGACTCGACGGTCGCAATGGCGTTGCCAGCGTAGATCGGACGTACGAAGGTGTTCTCGTTTTCAATGGCGGTTATGTCTGATATTTGCTGGGAGTCAAGAAGCGCGGCGACTCGCGGTAATAAACTCTTTCCGAATGCGGTGTGTCCTGCTATGATATGCGTGTAACCGCCCTTCTTGATGTTCTCGACTAATAGCGGCGCAAAGTTCTCTGGGAGACCCTGGAAGTGGAAAGTCGTTAGCCAGCTAGCCCTCATACTTGATTTTTTTTTTTAAAAAAAAATAATAATAAAAGTCGAGGCGCGTTCGCCTACCTTGTCGTAAGCAGCGTTATCCACCGCGATTATCTTTTCGACACCTTCTACCTTTGCCGCCTCTTCTGCTACGGGCTTAATATTGCTTCCGGCGACGAACCCATGTATCGAGCCCCCGAGCTTCCTAGCGGCCGTAATCGCACTCAAAGAACCGTGGTTTAGCTTTCCATCGCGCTGTTCTAGAATAGCCAATGACGATAATAATCTTCGAAGGGCCGAAGGGCTATTGAAGGGACTTGAAAACGCAGAAGTAGAGCGCGGCACGCTGCTGACGCCTCTAAGAACTGTCCGAGTCGCTGTAGAGAAAAGCATTGTGTGGTTTTTTTGGTTTTTTATTTTTTTGGTTATTGCGACTGGAATTTGGCGAGTTTCGCACAGCGGAAACCAGCCTGCTGCAGTTCTTGAATTCGGTTGTTCACGGCCTTCCCACCGAGGTAAGAATACCTAGGGTAAGGTAAGGTAGCGCTTGTATTCGGACCCGGTAACGGAACTCTCTTCACAAGTACCCACCCACCTAGGTATCTATACACATGCATAAGCTAATGCAGCTGTGCAGTATTACTTAAGATTCATCACGTGCTACCTATCGGTTACCCATCCTTTTCTTTTTTTCTAAATTGACGCTTGGACCAAGATCAAGACCAAAAAAGCTGACAAGGCAAATTCGCTAACCTCTTTTCCAGCTTGCCAGTTGGTTCCTCTAAGTCGCGCCAAATTATTTCTCCAAACACGCGGTCGACCCAGTTCCATCGCATAGCATAAGGACGCATCCAATGAATTGAATATCCATCAACGTCCTTAATAACAACCTCCCTTCGAACCGCATTATTGCATCAAATTCTTCTCTCTCTTTAATAACTCGTCGCAGGTAAAATTAACACTTGTTGCGATACCTCGCGTCGGGTTTTTCTTTTTCTTTTCTTTTCCTTTCCTTTTTCAACAAAATTGGTATAATCACATACTAAACATTTAGTAAAGCCTTCTCTCCCCTCCCCCTTCGAAGGTTATTAGTTGTAAATTCGCTTTTTCATTCACGATGGAAGGCGAACACGCCAACTTCGGTTCACCGGCCAATGCAGCTACTCCGGGAAACAACCCGATCCTAGCGCAGCCGCCCCTTCAATCCGATGTAGCGGGTGCGCCTCAAGGCTCCGAGGGTAAGTTGAGACGGTTCTTCCTAACCTCAGCATCTCGGTACTAATGCGCAGAGCAGACGTGCAAATGTCCGAAATCCCTTCCACAGATCCCATCATCAAGCAAGATAGCGCTACTCCTGCACCAGCTGGTACTTCACATAACCCACTTGATGCCCCTCCTGCACCGCCTGCTGAAACTACCCTAGCTAAGGATGATGAGGAAATGGGTGAGGCTCAGCCCGAGCCTCAGGATGGACGAACCCAAGACAAGCACACCGAAGACACTGCTGTCAGCGGTGAAAGTAACGCCCAGGAAGTAAAGTCGAAGGAAACCATCGAAAATGCCGCGCGCGAACATCTCATCTCCCAGACGCATGCAATTGTCCTACCCAGTTACAGTACCTGGTTCGACATGAATGCGATTCACAGCATCGAACGTAAAGCTCTCCCGGAATTTTTCAACAGTCGAAACCGCAGCAAGACCCCCGCCGTGTATAAAGATTACCGCGATTTTATGATTAATACCTACCGGCTGAACCCCGTCGAGTACCTAACCGTCACTGCGTGCAGACGAAACTTGGCTGGCGATGTTTGCGCCATCATGCGCGTCCACGCGTTTCTGGAGCAGTGGGGGTTAATTAACTACCAGGTATTACCTGACTTCCTTTTACCTAATAATACCAAGTTTCTAACACAGGTTACAGGTTGATGCAGATCAACGCCCGTCTCAAGTTGGCCCGCCCTTCACGGGCCACTTCCAAGTTATTTGTGATACCCCTCGTGGACTTCAACCCTGGCAACCTTCGGCCGATCCGATCGTACTAGAAGGCAAAAAGAACCAGGATACCGATCAAAAGGCTAACGCTCCCGCTACTGCCGCGGGCGAGCGAAATCTAGAGATTGGTCGAAATATCTACGAAGCCAACGCGAAAGGGGCGAAGATCAACAAGTCCGAGAATAAGACTAATGGAGAGGCCGCCACTAACGGTGCAACATCCCCGGTAGCTGACGACAATCTCAGCAAACCCATTGCTAAGGTGCACTGCTACAACTGCGGTATCGACTGCACTCGGCTCTACTATCATCTGCCAGAAGCCAATTCAACCAATAAGGCGAAGTGTGATTTATGTTCCAGCTGTTTTGTCGAGGGCCGAATACCCGGAAATCAGTCCAATACCCAATTTGTTCAAATAGAGAACAAAACTTATTCATCCGTCCTCGATCGCGACGCACCCTGGACAGATGCCGAGGTTCTTCGACTTCTCGAGGCCTTGGAAAGATATGATGATGACTGGGCCGAGATTGCAGCCCACGTGGGCACGCGAACTCGAGAGGAATGTGTTTTGCAATTTCTCCAATTAGATATTGAGGACAAGTACCTCGAGACAGAAGCTCCTATCCATGCTCCTACAGGTCTTGCTATGCTCGGGAAGCATGGCGGGCACCTTCCTTTCAGTCAGGCCGATAATCCAGTCATGTCTGTTATCGGATTCCTTGCCAGTCTGGCAGACCCCAAGACAACAGCCGCAGCTGCAAAGAAATCTGTAGAACAACTGCAAGAAGGCCTGCGAAACAAACTCGAGGGCAACGATACGACAAAGGTCAACGGAAAAGGAAAGGAGAAGGAGAGTGACTCGATGGAGTTAGATAGTCACCAAGAAAATACCGGTCCTACCGCGTCTGACTTGGCCAGCATACCACTTGCTGCTATGGGTGCACGTGCGGGCGGCCTAGCTTCGCACGAGGAGCGAGAGATGACAAGACTCCTCTCGGCGGCAGTTAATATTACCTTACAGAAGATGGAGCTGAAGCTCAAATACTTCGACGAGATGGAGGGTATATTACAAGCAGAGCGACGTGAACTAGAGCGGGGCAGGCAACAACTCTTCCTCGACCGACTTGCCTTCAAAAAGCGGGTAAGGGAAACGCAAGCAGGCCTCAAGGCAGCCAACCTTAACGGGGACGTTAAGTCCGATGGCAGTGGTCTTACTTTCACCTCAGCGCCCCCGTTAAGCGCTGTTCAACCGCTCGGTAGTGATGGCAATATCAAGAGCTACGAAGCCTAATTTATTTTACCGGTCCGGGCGGATATTTCTTGCGCTAAATGTTGCGTGAGAGAAGGTTGTTGATTTTTAATCGTGGCGAATTTAGGTATCCTAAAGGGACTTTGATTTGACTGTTGCGAGCTATCAGCTCCCGTGGGCGTCTGTGGAATAGGGTTTCTCGCTTTTGTTGCTTTTGGTTGTCATTTCAATTTTTTTTTCCCTCCGAAAATAAAGTCACCCCTGCCTTGTGGATGAAAAAGAACATTCTTGGGGGGAAGCAGGAGTAAGAGAGCGAGAATGGGAGAAGAAGGTGGAGGGTATAGTATCTTGCACTTGCATAGTGACGAAGACCTCCGTGTATGACTATACTACGATTATTACTACTACTACCACCACAGGTACTTACTGCTTACTCGTAAATGGGATCCATCTATGGGAAGCAGAAAACAGAAAAGAGAGATACTTAGTAATGAACCCCTTGTTGGAGAGTTTCATAGGTATTATTATATGTGCATGTTTCTTCCAAGACCAGCTCTCAGTCCTCTGATATCTTAGATAAATATTTTGTCTTAGGTTAGGTTAGGTTAAGTTGGGTACTCTTAGATATTCATAGACTGACCACCCAATGTACCTAGCCTTCAGGACATCCAAATCTTCTTATTCCTTATTAGTATACGAACCGTCAGCCACCCCGCCTCCACCTCCTCCCTTCCTTCTTCCCATAACCTCCCACTCGCTGTAATACTCGATATGCTCTCTCCAATTCGCACCACCTGGATCCACCAACCCCGACCGTCTCTGCATCTCCCCTTCCCCTTCCCCCTTTTTATCATCATCATCATCGTCGTCCTCCCCTTCTGCCTCCTCCTCTTCCTGATCTTCTTTCACCCGCCCCCGCCCATCGTACACCACCTTCCACAACCGCGCCTCCTCCCTCGCCGCGGCCCGCGCGTCGGAGCGCTCCGCGTCCGCCCACAGCTCGTGCTCCGCGCGGAGCCGGGCGCGCACCGCGTCCCGCGAGCGCGTCGTCGCCGCCGCCTGGTCGTAGGTTGCCGTGTACGTGAGGGCTTCGAGGAGGTCTTGCGCTAGAGCGGGCGGGTCTTCTTCCTCCTCCTCTTCTTCTTCTTCTTGTTCTTCTGCTGAAGGGTCTTTCATCGAAACATCGGAGTCGGGGCCGGGACTAGCGGCCGAATCTGAGTCTGAGAACGAGTATGCGGAGGAGCTGGAGGAGGAGGATATCTCGGGGAGGTCGGTGCGGAGGGCTTGGTCTTGGTCTTGGGGAGGGTGGGGGGATGACGGGCGCGGAAGACGGGGGAAGCCGAGGGCGGTTTCGACTTCGTCGTAAGACATTAGAGGGGGTGGGGAGTCTGTCTCGTCGTCGTGTATTTCAATGGGGGAATTGTGCCTCTCTTCTTCTTCTTCTTCCTCAGTTACGTCGCTTTGAGTCATCGTGTCTTCAGCCTCAACATCGAAATCTTCACGATCTTCCCCTTCTTTTCCAGATCCATACTCCTGATCCGTCTCCCCTGATCCGTCTTCGCTCCTATCATCACCATTCTCATCATCGTCATCATCATCATCCTGCTCGTCATCGTACACATCCAGCCGTAACCTGCGCGCCGCCCGCGCCCAGAACTCCCGGCTGTTCTCGGGCATGCCGACCGACGCCACCGCTGCTTGCACATCCCTGATCTTGACGAGGCCGCTCGTGCGGTTGCTTCGCCGGTCCCCGGCCCGCTTCGCGCGCACCCGCGAGCCCGCTACGTAGAGCGTCGCGCCCACGAGCCGCCGCGTCACGCTCACCACCAGCGAGTGGAAGTCCGCGAGCGCCGTCGCCCGGATCGACGGCGCTTCCGACTCCGACGACTCCGACGACACCCCGCGCCAGTTGCCGTCCGGGACCACGGACGAGTTCATGAAGACCCGCTCGGAGAGCTGCAGCCAGTTGCGGAGCGCGAACAGCTCCGCGAACGGGGGGAGGACGTTCGCATCTATTCTCGTTGTTGTGGTTGTTGTTGTTGGGTTGTTACTAGTGGCGGCAGTACGCTGCTGGCGCTCAAGCACCCTCGCCAGCTGCGCCGTGATCAGCCACCGCCCTTGCCACCGCTTCTGCTCCAGCACCGCCTCGTACCTCTCGCATCGCGCCGCGATCACATCCGCCGCCTGCTCCAGGGCCGCGCACAGTTCCGTGCTGAGCTCCGCTGCGGCGGGGACGTCGACGGGGCGCAGCGCCCTCCGCCTCTTGCCGTCGTCCTCGCGGCGAGCACGCTCCGCCTCGCCAAGCAATACCAGATACTGGCGGACCTCGAGGGGGCTTTTCGTGCCGACCCTCGCGGCGATGCCCGCTATATCGTCGCGCCCCAGGCGGTCCAGGGCCGAGAACAAGGCGTGCTTTTCGGACGGGGACCACGACACGACGCCGACCTGCGAGGGAGGCAGGTCGGACGAGGGTTCGTCGTCGCGGGATATGGTGCCGGCCGCAGCGTCGCCGATTTCCTCGTTGAGAAGGCCCAGGTACTGGAAGTTGAAAGACGCCCCCTTTTGCCTCTTAGGCAGCGATGATGCCGCGGGGGACGACGGTTCTACTGTCCTGTGGTGGCGACGCTTGCGCGCGCTCTCGCCGGATCCAGGCGAGGAGGCGGGAGGCGGCCGGGAGGGCTCGCCGTCGGATCCGCTGTTGGCGGCGCGGTACTCGGGGTTGCCATCCGAGTTCATGCCTAAAGTTAGGTACCTAAGGTAGTTGGTCTTCTATAGTTGCAGGCTAGAAATCTACCTCATGTAACAGGCCCGATGTGTAAGTCTAATTCATGATAAGGGGGGCGATGCATGTGAAGTATACCTATGCAAATATGCAATTATCAGTATTTTGTAAAGGAGATGGCAATAAGAAGTGGGTGAGATAAATAAATTTAAATCTTTCGGACTTTCTAACTAAGTTTCATTTGAGATGTTGTTGATTTATAGTATTAATAAAATAAATTGGAAAGACAGGTGAATGATGCCCGTGTGAAGTAAAGTTTTTACCTAAGGTTGCCTGAGGTATTGTACCTGGTACCTATTCAATATCCGTATCTTAGTAAAGTTTTCTCACTTTTACAAGAGACATAGTTATGCTTAAATTCATATACGGGTTCCACTTAAAAAGTCTACCTAACCTAAAGTGGCTCAAAACTTTAAATTTCCATTGACGCCTCGAAACTCTCAACTCGAAACATACTTACCTGCTAAACATCTATCGCAACAAGTTGTTGTGTAAATATGCCATGCTACCTTTGACCACAAGATGGTTATTCTCAGTGAGGCCCATACGGCGGTTCACAATAACGAGATGCTATCGATACAGGTTTTCTACATCCTTAACAGTCCGTACGGCTGACGTGGTTGATATCTCTAACCCGTTCCAAAGCATTCGCCTTCGTGATTATCAAGAAGAATGCATTCAGTCCGTTTTAAGTTCCCTCGACAATGGCCATAAGCGATTAGGAATATCGCTAGCTACCGGATCCGGTAAAACAGTCATCTTCACTCAGTTGATTGATCGGATTAAGACCGCCTCAAGAGATGTTGATCAGACCCTGATTCTGGCTCACAGGCGAGAACTTGTTGAACAAGCAGCTCGCCACTGCACCTCTGCCTATCCTCACAAAACAGTAGAAATTGAAATGGGCAATATACATGCGTCGGGAACCGCCGATATCACCATCGCTAGCATACAGAGTATTAACTCTGGTAATCGCATCAGCAAGTACGATCCCAGACGGTTTAAACTCGTGCTCGTTGACGAAGCACATCATATAGTTGCGCCCGGATATCTAAAGATTCTGGAGCATTTCGGCCTTGATAAGAAGAGAGATGACTCGCCAGCACTTGTCGGTGTGTCCGCAACACTTTCTCGCGCCGATGGACTTCGTCTGGGTGCCGCAATCGATGAAGTGGTATATCATAAAGACTACGTTGACATGATAGGGGATAAATGGTTGTCCGACGTCATTTTTACTACAGTCGAGTCCACTGCCGATGTTTCACAAGTCGGAACTGGTAGCACTGGGGACTTTCAAACCCGCGAGCTGTCCAAGGTGGTGAATACTAAGCAAGTGAACGAGATTACCGTTCGCAGTTGGCTTGCAAAGGCTTCCGAGAGGAAGTCGACGCTAGTCTTTTGCGTGGATCTCGCGCATATCGACGGCTTAACCAAGACGTTCCGCGAGCACGGCATTGATGCCAGGTTCGTAACGGGAGAAACGCCAAAGGTTGAAAGAAGCGAAATCCTTGAAGCTTTTCGACGCCAAGAATTTCCCGTGCTCATCAACTGTGGCGTCTTTACCGAAGGAACCGATATTCCCAATATTGATTGCGTTGTCCTCGCCCGGCCAACCCGCTCCCGCAATTTATTAGTACAAATGATAGGGAGAGGCATGCGGCTTCATCCAGATAAGAAGGATTGCCACATCATCGATATGGTCTCAAGTCTATCTGTCGGTATAGTGACAACACCTACTCTCTTCGGTCTCGACCCGTCTGAGCTGGTAGAGAAGGCAACCCCGCGTGATTTGCAACACTTGAAGAGCAGTCAGGAGGCAGCAGAGATTAATATTAGACGCAAGATTACTTTTGTCGAGTATGATTCCGTCTTTGACTTGATTGCAGATACATCTGGTGAGAGGCACATTCGGGCAATCAGTCCGCACGCATGGGTACAAATTAATCCAAACAGATGGATATTATCTGGCCCGGACGGTACCTTTATCCGATTAGAAAAGGAAACATCGGGAGACGAGAAGGGAATGTTTGTAGGCTGTGAGGTCCGGGCTCTTCCCAAAAGCAAAAAATCCAAGTCTCCGTATGCTGCGCCTCGACAGTTATTGTCAACACCTATCTTCGCTGATGCTGTTCACGGATGTGACAGATACGCGTCCGAGATGTATCCCCATCTTCTTATTTCAAGGAACCAGCGCTGGCGCGAAGGACCACCTACCGAGGGTCAGCTCAATTTCTTAAATAGGATACGAGAGGATGGGGATAAGTTAAAAGAAGGAGATATCACAAAAGGCAAGGCCGCAGACATGATAACCAAATTACGCCATGGTGCCCGAGGTCACTTCGCTGTCCTTGACGCCGACCGAAAGAGAAAGCAGAGGCGTCAGACTTTAGACGAGGCGAAAGAAAAGATGATGAAGATTCGGGAAAAGGTGTCTATTGGACCTCTGTCAGCTTGAATCCCGTAACCACTATTGTTACAGTTACACCTCCTAATCACAATCGACCGACTCAACTCAAACGCTTTTTAACAATACGTCCGTCACTATGTGATACTCGAACTAAATCTTCAGTAATCATAAGCCCAAAGAGTCAATTTGAATTAGGACTCGATATACGGTCATGCATCCATTCAACCCGTCTTCTACCGACGGTTCATGGAGTATATTAGACCTAATGTCACGCGCAGATATCCTTGGGGTGAAATTTGCTATGGAATTATTCATGTTAGGTACTCTATGCTATATATATAAGTTGGTCGAGCGACGGCTCGCCTTCAAATACCAGTAGGTTGCCCCTATCATTTAAGTCTTTAGACCAATTTCAAACACGCCAACACCATAGGAAGAAAGGATAATAGTGCTACCAGGCGCCAAACTCGAAACCTACCATGGTGTACTCGAAAGCTCTTTTTATTATTATTTTTTTATGGCTACGGTGTTTATAAATCCTCCACCTGTCGGCGGTCGAGACATTCAAGGGGGAAATGGCATAGAACGGCGCACCTGCCCCAAACTACGAATAGGCAGGGAAAGGAGGGGACAGAAGAACGCTCAAGTACGGAAAACATCAAGGACGTTTTTTGAGTAGTGCGAAAACTGAAACTACTACGGACTCGAACAACCATCCAGGTAGTAGGTCCTCAATCCCGATAAACTGCCACGATGCTCCTTCCCAAGACATGCCTCAACCCCGACATCATCATAACGCCCCTAACACACATGCTCCCGATTGGAGAACGTACCCGCCAGAGGTTGTTCCAAGGTTTGATCTTGAGAACTCTACGACAATGTCCGAGGAAAAGTTTGTAGATCTCGAAGTGCTTACCAACAAGCATATTACGCACTCCATAGCCCTTAGGGAGTGGATGAAACAGAAAAGCCAGGAATTAAATTCAATTAGTGGCGGTATGGAACAACACCATGAGAATATCAAGGACGAAAAAGTATCGACTGCCGACACTTCGGGCAATGCCGAGAGAAGGAAAGAAGCCATGCGCGAGATCCAAGAAACGTACGCTGCTTTCGTGGACATGGATACCATCGGAGCTCACGTATCTGCCCGCCGTCAAGCGTCAGAAGCCTTGCAGCGACAACGAAAACTTCCCTTGTCAGAAACTAAGCGGCTTTTGGGATCGGACGGATCGTCATCCTGCTACTCAGGCCCGCTCAAAGAGAAACACCTATACTTAGTCGGCTCGCCTCCGAAAATCGTCAGACTTCCTTTCGACCAAGCCGTAAATGCTGGCCTCGAAGATATCCACGCTCCCGGAGGATACGCATTTCCATCTTCTTTGCCTGATACACCCCAAACACAGCAGCCCCCTCTTCCTCCTCCTCCTTCTTCTCCTCCACAAGCATCTGTATCGGAGCAGCAGCAGCAGCAGCCCCCTTTCCTCATCGAGCCGTCCACGAATCGAAGCCACACCACCACCCTCCATATTCCGGAGTGGTTCGACCACTTCACCATGCCTCTTAAGGGTCAGGATCGCGAGGCCAAGTGGAACGACCTGACGAACCGCATATACACCCTGGAAACGAAAATCCGATATAGCACCGACGACGAGGTTTCGGGGACGAGGGGGTCGGCGGCCTGGGATAAAAAGTGGCACGAGCCTAACAATCAGTGGGCTTTCCCCCACCAGCGCAAGCACGGCGGCTGGTGGAAGTGCCGCTCCGGTCCGGACGCCCCGCAGGCGGAAGCTAGGTGTCGGTTTTGCCACTACCACGACTTCAAGACTGATACTCCCGAGCCGCCGCCGTCGCCGAGCAAGCGCAGCGCAAGAGAGCAGCTCGCTGAGCTTCAGGGCGCTATAGACGAGGCGATGGCTGTGGTTGGCGAGAGGGATAAAGCGGTCGCTTTGGGGATGCTGCGTGGAGGAAACACGGGTTCGTAATGGTGGATAGAGCTGCGTGATTACGTGACGGGTTTTCTCGTCGTGGACGTGTGGTTTGTATAGAGAGTTTTTGCTAGGACAGGGTCAGCTAGGTAGCCATGGCTTCATTGGTTACTCTTGTTGATACCTAGCTGCATATCTGGTGTTTGAGAGTAGGGTATAATAGCCGCGCTGTCAAAGTTGGGTCTGTTGAACCGGCAATGGGTTATGTTATTATCGGCTGATTCATCGTCGATGTCTGCATACCTAGGTAGGCGCAGGATACTGACTTGCATACCTGTTATGGATAATTAACCTTGGAAGTAAATATGCTTTTCTTAATATAGGTCTCTAAAAAAACTTTCTGCATATCGGTTTATTAGTCTGGCTTGTAACCTAAAGGCGCTGAGGAACTTTTCAAGCATTACTTTAGGCATAGACGATAGGGACGAAAACCTGCTGATATTTTTGGTAAGAATTCCCGGCGACAGTTAGGTACTAAGCTAGTGAAGCAGATAGCGAACATACATTCTTAGGAAGATGGATTTGCTATGTTAGTCATTAACAAGGGTATATCCATAAAAGCTAGCTACCTAGGAGACTATTGCCATACGCCCCTTACAATGCAGAATACATGCAAACTACCAAGACTACCTCCTTCTAAGACCCCCCCAAAACTAGAACAGTAATACGTACGAACTATAGCTCATTCTTCTCCCTAACATACGCGCCCCAATTAACTTTCGGTGTCCTCTCGCCGTCCAACCCGTCGCCCTCTTTCCACGCCATTTCGGTCCACGCGCCGAGGCCGCACAGATGCCGCATCGTCGGGCGTCCGTGCGGGCAATTCCAGGGCTTGTCGAGCTCGCCCATGTGGCGGACCAGTTTCTCCATCTGCCTGATGGTAAGCGACTTGCCGATCATGACGCTGCTGCGGCAGGCGCGCATGGCGAACATCTTGCGGACCTTGGAGGGGCGCGGGATGGAGCTCGCCGACGAGGACTGGTGGTCCGTCAACATCGAGATCAGCTCCTCGAGGTCGGCAAGCGAGAACGTCGTCTCCCGACTGAGAGGTAGGCTGAGGAGCTGGCAGCGCGATCCCACGGGCTGATCGCCGCTCTCGTCCATAGCTACGATGAAGCCGTTCGCCTCTAGTGCTTCGAGATTCTCTCTGATCACTTCCTCCTCAAGAGCCGTGAGCTCTAACGCCTTGGGCAGGACCAGCCTCTGTGATTGCACGACAGTACTGGCCTGCAGCCGCTCGAAATTATACTTTTCGTCTGTTGCATGCTGATCGATAATGAAAAGCTCGTCGTCCCTATCCCGATTTTCCTTGGTATCCTCCGTATCTTCGGGGCTCGCTTTGGCCTCCCGAATTGCTAAGATGAAGCCTAGATTGAACTGTCCAATGATCTTCATCTTGCCAAAGTCAGCTTTCGAGATCGTCAGAGACAACTTTTCCTCTGCGTCCTCGGCGTCGAGTCTTTCCGCGGCCGGCTTAGATCCCGTTGTTAAGGATACATTCTTAAGGTATTCTTGCTGCATTGCTAAATTCTTTCGTATATGCTTCTCATCTGTACGTAGCGTCTGTAAGAGGGAGACAGTTGAATCTTTCTTCTTGGCTCCGCCCTTTATGAAGCTTTGTGTGCGTTTCTGGGTCTCTTCGGAAACGGCAGACTTTGGGTCGTGAGTGGCAGCAACAGTAGCTTCTAAATCAACTTCCTCTCTTGTATCCTCAACCTGCTCGCCTGGTTTCTCACCTTCTATAGAAGGACTTAAGGATGGTGGCATGTCGCTTTGTGGATGGATTTGCACATTTTCGGGCTCAGGGGACTGGCTATCTAGTTCACGGTCTTGCTCCTCAATGCTCTCTGCGGCTACTTCGCTCAGGGCTGGCTCTTCATCTTGGTCGTTTTGTTCATCGTCTTCGTCATCGTCTTCGACAAATAGCTGCTCGCTAGAACCATCGGAATCATCCGAAAGGTCTGCTCCTTCTGGGGTGGTATGTACTAATTCAGTCTTCTTTGCTTGCGAATGAGCCGCAAACATTTGCGTTAAGCGTCCGTTGAACGAAGGCATTTGGGTTGTCCCTTTAGAACTTCGTTGCCTCGTCGATGGTTCGCGGGCCTTGTCATTTCCTGTTCGTTGCTTTTTCGAAGGAGAACCAATAATGCTAGTAACAGTATGGTTGCCAACTGTGATTGTAGCCACCTCTGGCGCTGACCGCTTTACAGCTGAAGAGGAGCTAACTCTACTCATTTTAATGTCTGATACACGAGATGAGGTTGATACTGCTGGTATCGGTGGCTCAATTATCTCCTGAGTGCTTGGTGATGGAATACTATCACGTCTACTTGCCTTGACATTTTTTAATTCGGCTAAACGCGCGCGGAAATCTGTTTCTTCACCAGTACTTTCTTCCGAGGATGCAGAAGGTGATAGTTGGCCGTCGACATTGTTCTCGTTCTCGTTCTCGTTGATGTCATCTGTATAATCCGTTGCAAATTTAGAAAAAATGTGCCCCTTCGACTCTGAAGCTACTTTTCCACCACCTTCTGAGGTTTTGACTGTGGCCGAAGAAATATTGGCGCAAACATCTGATTTCGGCTCTGCTCCTTGACTCGTCGGGTCAAGATCCTGGCTATTACGAGCTAGGGGTCTCGTCAAGCTTAAGCTTCTTCGTACCGAATCGCTCGTAGATTCATCATCTTCGTCTTTATCCTGATCCCCTATGTCATCCGTATTCATAGATATAGATATTCGCCGGGGTTCGTTCTCAATCGAAATAGAACGCTTTAACCCAATCTCAGATAAGGGAGTATTTTGTCTATTTATGGAAGACTTCTTAAAAGGTGTCGGGGTTGAGCCAGCTAGTTGAGACGTTGGCAATGCATAATCTTGCGATTCAAATAGGGCAGTGAGAGACTCTCTAAGACTGTCGAGCATCCTAGTTTGATCATGCAAGAGGATTGTGCGCTTATCCGGACTAACATTAACGTCATAGAGATGAGTATCCAGTTGGATATCAGCGAAAATAAAGGGAGACTGGGAAGCATTGTAGGATTTATACACCTCATTAAATATTTTGGTGAATTGTGGTAGGCCACAGGGGCGGCCGTTCACAAAGAACATCTGCCTGTCCGGGGTCTGCCGCCCTTCTCCATGGGCAGGGCGAGATACATGGCCCTTGATATGGATTTCGTGTACGTTATTGTTGTTGCCCTGCGTACTCCATTTCTGGCCTGGTGCGCTAGTAAGTTCCAACTGGAGCTTTAAGTCCAAGGGAATAAGGACGGCTAGAGTTTTGGATCCGAACACATTCACAATATTTTCTCGAGTTGTCTGGTTTCCCTTGGTGGAAAACAATACTATCCGCTTGCCTTTATTCGGCTGTTGAGACACGGAGAATTTCAGTCCAGTCTGGATGCAGGCATATTGGTTGAGAACGCCGATGACTTTGTTCCACTCTCGTTTAATATTTCGCTCCAGTTCGCGACGACGAACAGGTAGATTGTGGAAAATTCCCTCGACAGTTACTGTAGTACCTTTCTGGGCGGCTACTATGCTCGTGCTACGAAGCTTCCCCGAGGTTTCGAACTCCAACTTGGATCCTTTTGGGGCGTCCGATGCCAGGCAGGTTGTCACAGTGAATTTGGATAGGGCACAGAGGGACGATAGAGCCTCTCCGCGAAAGCCAAAGGTTTGAAGGGAGGAAAGATCTGCGTATGTGGATAGTTTAGAGGTATAGTGTTTTAGAGCTAATGTCTCGTAGTTCTGTTTGGATATGCCTGAACCATTATCCTGAACTTCGATAGAATCTAGGCCTTGATTCTTGAAACGAACTTCTTCATAGGTGGAATATCTGTGGTTAGTAGATACACGAATAGAGATATAAGAACGGATGAAGAAAAGTAAACGAACCGATGTTTGTGGCTCCAGCATCCAAGCTATTCTCTACTAGCTCCTTGACCACAGAGCATAGATCAACAATAACTTGACCAGATTGAATTTGATGAATCTAAGTTAGTTACGGTAGTATTAGTATTAGTATTTGTATTTGTATTATAAAGACAACTAACGTAAGAGAGGTTGGACAGCTACTTACAGTTCGTGCCTCGATGGCTTTGATGGTCGCCATTAGTCAGAAGACGATATCATTTAATCGCCGTACGTTAAATAAAACAATAAAAATAAAAAATAGAAATCGATTAGTCGTTCAAATATCTACCGCCACTCCTTTACGTTGATTAAGGAGTCTCGGGATTCTATCCAGTGGTACATGCAATGTGGGCAATGTACGTATAACGTCTTCAGCCTCGTCGCGTCATATTAATTGAATTTTGAATGGGAGAACGCGTCCAAGTTCCCGAGGTAGTGTGTGGCGCAGCGCGTAAAGTGGCTGTATGATTTATACATGTAGCGTTCGTATTTTTTTTGGTGCGAGGAGAAACATTGAACTGTGCACTTTACTGTATTTTTTCTTTTTTTTGAGGTTACGAAATTTCTAACCACTCTTCTACATTAAGTGGCCCTTCATAATTCAATTTGGGCTATATTTCATGATGTAAGCATGCACCTCCAAAGACATGGAATTTACCTAGACAAAGAGGTAAGTTTACCTCTGATGGGAGTCTTAAAGTCTGTATGCAGGTATGTAACTAAGTTATGTTGAAGGGAAAAGTCGAAGCAAGGCACCTAACAGTTGGAACCTTACCTCCAATATATTTAGCTTAGGTAGGTAGGTAATACTTTACCTACATGTATCATGTAGCACCTAACTGCCTAAAGTTTAAAGAGGTATACACGTATCTGCTTCCAAAAACCCGTGTTAGCACAGATTCAGCGGTAACCACCGTAGAGCAAACATCCCTTTCTGTTCTTACCTTAGGTCTAGGTAGGTATCTTGCTTTATCGACACCGTCCAACGTTGGCTTCCCATATTATCTTCTCCTTCGTTCCTTTGGCGCCATTTACCAACTCGTATATAATACCTACAGATTATATACTACAGATAGGGTCCTATCATAGGTACTCCCGCAGTCCCGGAGCCAATCCCTCTCCCAAAGCAGTTCTTGGCGAACTAGGTAGCTATTCGGCCGTTGCAACATTGGCTTGACCAGGATTGGGATACTATGTAAAGTGATGTCGACATCGGAAAGCTCGGAATCTTTCACTCTATTCGATCTCATTCTCGCTCCATCCAACCGGGAAATCAGGCTTGTAATAACGCTTTTAAGGCCACCCGGATTCCGACGATGTGGTTTAAATCCGACGATGCAAATCATGGATTAAGAAAGGCGATTGCTTTCCTTTTTTTCGATCAAGTATGTTTGCCTTGGTTACGAAACCAGGAATTTGATGGCTTTATTGAGAGTTGGTGGACTCGGAATGTTATCTTGTTGAAGACTTTCCGGGGTAGAGCGAACAAGTTTTAACATATCACAAAAAGCTGCACGTCACCTAGACTGCTAGACCATTAACGCAAGACTGCTTTGTCCAAGATAAAGACGAGACCACTTTCCGGCGCATGTCTCATTCATGGCTATTCCAAGTAGGCCAAGCGCCTTTTTTTAGAGAGGAAAAAAAAAGGTTAAGTGAGCTCTCACTTTCACATAAAGGTATCCACTGCTTGACAACCCGTTTGTCAATACGAGTTTTTGCTGTTGCATTTTGCCGCTTATATCCAAAATCTGTGGCGGCCGAGATGGCCACGGGACTTATGGCGCAAGCAACTGATCCTAGATAAAACAAAAACCCGATAACGCATATAACCCGCATTTTCTAGTGTATCCTGTTCGGCACCTTATTCGGTCCCTTACGCGGCACGGCGCTTGCTACTACTTTTTACTAGCTATGTACAATACAGAAGTGCACGTGTACCTATTGCCTCAAGAATTTTACTCCATCGTCTGTAAAACACGATGTGTGACAGCCAGGTGGGACAGGATTTGCCGATCGCCAAGTGCCATCTCGTACCATCTTTTTCAGTGGTAACAAGACTTATAAGACTACCTAACAAGAATCAGTGGTAATGCCCCCTGGCAAATACGGTGTACTTACTTTAATGTGTTTAGTCAAGACGGATATACCTAAGTAGCATCTAACGTTACACATCGTACCTAATTTTTTCTACCTTATGTAAGGTAGACATTGGTATGCACGCTACCTAGCTAAGTAGTGTATACCTAAATGAAAGTTGCATAGAAGCCAAGCTACCTAACGTCATTCTTGGTGATTATTTTTTGTTGGACGGGAAACTTGGCTGCTTCGCTAAGCTGGCCAAGTTATCATATAGCCCATGTGCCATTAGATTCTTAAATCCGCTAAGATCGACTAGAATGCGAGAAAAAGACTCCACACGTTCTGGTCCTTTTTTGGCTACAGGATCTCGAAGAAGGCTATCGGGATTTTAGTACTTGGCTGCTCCTATTACCCACAATACATATCTCTTAGGTATCGAACCTTTCCCGATAGCCCCCAAGTTTTAGTGCTAACCTGCCAGAATCCAGTGCCCAGACAGCTAGAGTACCCAGTTGCAGGTTAATGAAACAAGCAGTCAAGTACAAGCTTAGGTACCTACCTACCTAACCTACGCACTTTTTTTTTTATGTACCTTAGAAAGAAGCATTGCCAATGGAAATCGCATCTCGATTCTATTCGAGACGTCCCGCGCTTGCAATTCCCACCCCCCAGTCCTTCTTCTCACCCCAAACCGTTCAACTCAAAAAAACAACAACATCCACTCATAAGGTAACTTAAGTCTTACCTTAGGTACCTAAACACATCCTTTTTTATATAGCAACAATTCATCAACACGATTAGTTGCTGCAAATACCGGTGGGTTGGACGACCAACATTCGTTTTCAAATCATTTTGCAGGTTGGGAGGAAAGCCTACGTAGGCGAGCCGGGTCTATGGGCACGGATTGGTTCTCTCCTTTATAAGATCGACGGTTTCTCCAACGTCCCTGCAGCTTAGCTCTCAAATCTATCGTTGCGCAAGCCAGAGTCGTGTCCGTGTCTCGACTAGAGCTGCCCTTCTCGCCTTAGCTAAACGTCGATTTTTTCAGCGACAGAATCGTTTCGCAACGTATGACGAACCCCCAAATCGAACTACACGAGTCCATCGAGAATCAAACGACCGCCGCATCGATAGCCTTACGAATTCATACCCCTGTAAAATAAGAGGTCTCTCGCGAGAGCCTCTTCATCCTCATGCAGAGGCGCTCATCGGGGTCGTCCGATGACAGCGCTGATGTCCCTGTCAAGATCTCGCGCCCTCATGGACAAACGAAGGTGACCGACGTGAGCTCCTCTGTCCGACATTCTCATGACATTCGCCAATCAGAACGTTCCCAGAAAGACGGCGCCAGGTCCTCATCAGCCAGGAGCCGGAGACCGAGTAGCAATATTAACTGGAGACTCTCTCATAGTCGCGATGCATCTACCGAAAAAGTACCAGCAACATCTCGTCTCCCGCCCACGACACTATCGCCTGATTATCCAAGTATAGAAAATGAGAAGACGGTATCGTCGAGACGGAAGAATCAGCCTCCACGAGCCTGGAGCCCCTGGGCTATTTCGCTCCTAACCCTCTTTACCAGCATTGCAGGCCTTGGTATGCTGTTTGCTGTCTTGTATTCCTCGGTTAGCCTACATTGTGACCCCAAGGGTTGTCGCATGTCTTGGATGAGCCCGTCATACGCCAAATTCAGCGATTTCGACACTGAGCATACCCGCTTTGCTACTAAATATTCGTTATATCTTTATCGGGAACAGGGATTCGACAATGGGCCAAAGGTACGAGAATCATGGATTATTAGTCACTTCCGAACTCACAATATTGACTTGATGCGTAGATTAAAGGCATACCAGTGCTATTTATACCAGGAAATGCTGGCAGCTACAAACAAGTTCGATCCATCGCGTCGGAGTCTGCTAGGTATTTCCACGACATCCTGCAGCATGATGCCGCTGCTCTGAATGCAGGTGCTAGAAGTTTAGATTTCTTCACAGTTGATTTCAATGAAGATTTCACTGCCTTCCATGGGCAAACGATGCTGGACCAAGCCGAGTACCTAAACGAAGCCATCAGGTATATCCTCTCCCTCTACCTGGACCCAAAAATCTCAGAACGAGACCCGGGTCTACCAGATCCTTCATCAGTTATTGTGCTGGGTCATTCTATGGGAGGAATTGTGGCACGAACTATGTTTATCATGCCAAACTACCAACAAGATTCGGTAAACACCATCATTACCATGTCCGCTCCGCATGCTCGACCACCCGTCACATTTGATCCAAAAATTGTTAGTATTTACAATGATATTAATAACTATTGGAGACATGCCTACTCGAAGAGGTCGTCGGCTGAAAATGCTTTGAGCCAAGTCACCCTAATATCTATCGCGGGTGGTGGCTTGGATACTGTTGTCCCGTCAGATTATGCCGGTCTGGAGTCAATTGTGCCTGAGAGCCACGGTTTCACCGTTTTCACATCTACAATCCCGACAGTCTGGACAAGCATGGATCACCAGGCAATCACCTGGTGTGATCAATTTCGGAAGGTCATCGTCCGTGCACTTTACGACGTCGTCGATAATCGTGGGAGATCACAGACGAAATCAAGAATAGACAGGATGAAGGCATTCAAAAGGCGGTTCTTGTCTGGTTTGGAGGATTTTGTCGAGAAGAGTGTTCCGGAAACAGCCTCATCGACATTGCTAGCGCTAGAGGATCATTCAACTACCATCCTTCCTGTAGGCGATCGTCTTGTCCTCCGCAGCTTAGGTTCGAACAGAAAAGCCAAGGCATACCTTCTCAATATTCCCTTAAGTGAATTCGAAGGAAAAAGGTTCACTCTACTCTCGGACAGCAAGCTCGATCGACCAGGCGAGGACGGGAAGCTCGAAGTTTTATTCTGCAACTTTTACCCGCTGCAACATGGACAGGCTAGCCAACCGTTCTCGATGAATATCGATCTCTCCGACGATACTATGGACTCCACGAAACTCGCTTGTACGAACGCCGCCTCCGACGTCGTATCATTACCAGCTTCCTCGCGTTTCACGAAAAACCCCTTCTTCAAAAAGGATGAGTGGCAAATCCCACCGTTTTCATATCTCGAGTACGACCTGGAAGATATATCAGACTATGGATTCGTTGCAGTCATTGATAAAAGCACTACTCCAACGGCAGGATGGCTAATGGCGGAATTTAGCGACAAGGCTGACTCTCATATAACTCGGCAGATTGGTATGAGGCGTCTGTTTAATTTCGGCCTCTCACTTAATCTTCCAGCGAACAGACCAATGGTGACCGAAGTGAAACTTCCGTCAGTCCAGAGCAGCTTGTTGGCATATAATCTCAAAATTGAAGGCCAATCCTGTAACGAGCGGGACCAGTTATTCACTCCACTTATCCGACAGTACCTTGCTGAGCCTTACGAGTCCAAGTATTTTGTCAATGCTCACGAGGTAGAGATTAGCCTTCACGGCGTCTCGCCTTACGTCCCTCCGCCCCTAAAGTCTAGACAATCCGATGACGGCCTCAGCCTTCAAATTTGGACGGATCCGACATGTGATTCAGGCATTTCGATTCATATTACCGTCGACGCCATGGGTAGTCTCGGAAAGTTGTATATGCGATATCGTACCGTCTTTGCGTCTTTCCCCTTACTTATAGTGACACTTGTGTTACGAAAGCAATTCCAAGTATACGACAGTACTGGTGTTTTTATTCCCTTTTCCGAAAGCTTAGATTTCTGTCTCAGACGATCGCTCCCAATGTTATTCTTGTCTATGACCCTCTTGTCGCTTTCGATGGGTCAATCGGGCTCAACTGGGTCGAAAAGTCTCCGGTTTTGGCAGAATAGCACGGCCGGCGTCGACTTCTCGCAAAACGACCTACTAGTCGGCACTTCAGACCCGTTCTTCTGGTTTCTGATCCCTATGATAGGGATTATTTGTACTGGAGTGTGTATGGCTCTTCACTACGTTACCCTATGCCTTACCTGGCTACTTAGCATAATCTACGGCTGCGTTTCCATTCGGCCGGTTATACAACTGCAAGAAAAGAAGCGCGCTCTATCACCAGCGTTCGCACCTTCACCGCCTCGAAGACGACTTATAACCACCGTAGTCCTATTATTACTTGTCTCAACATTCATCCCCTACCAGTTTGCGTATACGGTTGCGTGTCTCGTGCAATTGAGCACTACAGTTCGGGCACATCGGTCTGCACGTGAGACTGCATCACCTGTAGCCGTCAATTTTAACAACTACGTTCACTCCATCTTCCTTCTGATGTTATGGGTTCTGCCGATAAATTTGCCAACTTTAGTTGTTTGGGTGCGCAACTTGGCTGTCCACTGGTTCACGGCATTCTCATCACATCACAACGTGTTGTCGATATTGCCGTTCATCCTTCTGGTCGAAACCCTGACCGCTGGAGAGATGATACCGCCAGTAACAACGCGGCTCCGATACCTAACCGACATCATATTCTTTGGCATAGCTGTCTACGCAGCTATATATGGTGTATCGCATGCTTATATGTTGCATTACCTAATAAATCTAGTCGCTGCATGGCTTGTAGCAATCCATTCGACATCCGACTCCTGGACCCTTGCTGGAATATCCTCTATATTCGAAGGCGAGCCGACCGAGAACCGCAAACAGGGTAAAACTCCTTGATCTGATGTCAAGGGTTAGATTTTACATGTTTAACAGTCCTAGAGAAGTTCCACGGGTCATGTTCAAAGACCTGAATACTAGTCAATCTTAAATCTTATTTTTTACAAATCACATCGCGTCAGATATGAACACGAACCGGTATTGGAGCTCTAATAATAAAGTTAGAAACTAAAGTTCCTTGTATATACACTCATAACTGAGTCGGTCAATGGTGTCGAGAAAGTTAAGCGCCTTCAACTGAACCGTTTTCGACATTTTTTTCATTGGTAGAATACTTGGTATCGAAGGATCTGCTGCATCTTATCAATGAATTTCTTATATTTTGCTGTGGGGGGGCTTCCCTCATCTGTTTCTATGGCTTTGCATTAGCATCTGGGCTGGAGTTCAGATTTTTTAATGGCGGTCTGGCTACTCACAAATGACAGGCGCTCTAGTCTTGTTATGCGAACTGCTCGATGTTGTTGAGAGGCTTTCTTGCATAGCGTTCGACTCGATATTACTATCGAACGAGTTTGTAACAAGGCCGCGGCTGGAAATCTTGTACGAAAGGCTAGTTCTTGACTTTCAGACGCGCGGATACGGGCATGGTTTTCTTTGTTCTATTTTTTTTCTCTTCCTTCTCTCCTTTCCTTAGGAGCAATTATAAGAGACGGTCGGTTGGAGGTTCTCCATATTCACAGAGTCGAGGGTCAGGTTATAGATTTACGGGGTTTGGGGAACCGATCGGCAGACTCAGATTCATCCGCGTCCGGCGGGCGCCTACCTAACCTAATCATAATTTTCAGGGAGGAACGGTGACGCGGCAGAGATATTGGCTGCGGTAGCAATCTTGAAGGCCCTTTGGACAATTAGCAGGGACGGATGGATGGAAGTAATACGGACTTTTTCTTGGTTCCTCTTGACACGAAAAAAAAGGGGGGGGAGGGGGGCAACGCGGCGCGCTTGCAGGGCTGGCTGGCTGGATATGGTATGGGTACCTAAGGTAGGTAGGTATCTAACCTTTCAGATACCTGGCCTAAGATATGCAGATGGCATCTTGGTCCTACGTAGCTGAGATAGGCCTGGATCGCAATAAACTTATTTACGTTGAAATACTTGGGAAGTCTTAACCAATGCTAAAACTATGTACCGTGACATGGCTCCCACCCTAGACTCTCCAACCCTTCACACATTAACCTTTAACTAGGGATTTTTGACATATAACACATGTAGCTTAAAAGGGTGAGTGGCACTGGTGTCAGATAAACCTTAGCTCAGAAAATGACAGACACTTAAGGTACCTATTCATTTGTCTATTTATTTAAAAATTTACCGTAGAAACTCTATTGCCGTCCTTGTGTCTACCTATCTAAAGAAGTACCTGATAATCCACCTGACCTGACATACGCCCCTAAACGAAGAGTCCGAACCCTCTATCAAATTCCCCGGTCTACCTATAAACTATATCAGTAACAAACCATAAAACGCCGGGTCAGATCACACGGATGGTAATGATACCACTTGACGCCCGCGTCCTCCATCCCCCTCTTTGATTTAATCTCTCTCCCTTCTCTAGTTCTTTCTCTACCGTGAATAAAATGTAGGTAATCCCATCGAAACCGACCCAGCCATGCTTCAATATGGAATATCAAAAAAAGATAACACAACACAACAACATATACAACTACCTAGGTAAGTAGTGAATACGGTTTAGATATGCACCACCATATCTAATTCACTCTCTCGCGCGTCCCTTACCGGCCGATTCCGCGAGCCGCATCTTGCGCTGGTGCCAGATAACCCAAAGCGTAACCGCGAAGCCGAGGCCGCAGGCGGCGAGCGTGACAATGTACGCGGCACGATAGCACTCGATGCCGTCAGTACAAGAACTCACACCGTCCCTGTCGACGACGGAGTGGGCGTCGAAGACAGAGCCGTAGAACAGGTTGAAGATGTTGCTTGAGATGACGGGGGACAGGGTCATGAAGCCCCAATTCTGGCTTAGGCCGTGGATACCGAAGGACTCGGCGACGATGGACGGGAACACGCCGAATAGGAACCCGTACCCCAGCCCGCTGAACCCGGAGACGAAGCCCAGGAGGTGCGGGTTCGTCACGTTGAGCGCGCAGATCTGCGCGAGCGAGAAGATGCCCGACGCGACGACCAGGCACCACACTCGACTAGCGTGTAGTACCTTGACGAGGAAATCGGAGCCGACGCCGCTGAGCAGTCGCCCCGAGAAACTGCCGAGGGAGAGGATGGATACGTGCAGCTGCTGGCGTAGGACAAGGGTCTTATCGTCGATCGAGTCGTCATAGTGCTTCCACAACGCTGTGGCGTCGTTTCCGATATTGCTAACGCGCAGTTAGAGGCGTATTTCTTTTATTATGTCGCAACGGAACCTGTTGTGATACGCAGCAGATAGGCCAGGGGTGGGTGATACTCACTTGATAGTCATAAGGCCGATACCCGAGAGTATGCCCATGATGGTAAACAACTGCCAGAACTCAATGTTCCTCATAAGGTTGAGACCTCGAATATCTACGCGGTGAGAACGATCCATATCAACACTGCTCTGCACTAACACTTCACCGGGCAAGGAGGACGAGGTGGACTGGGAGAGAAGCGAAGACGTTTCATCGGTACCATCGCGGTTACCTGACGGCGCTTCCTCGGTATCAACAGCTCGGCTGTCTTCCTTGGGGCTTTGGGGGCCTCGGTCCTCTTGTTCTGGGGCATCTTGGGTCCTTTCGGAGTTGTTGGATGTGTTGGAGGTGGTGTTAAACATACCAGGTTCAGATGGATTCCCACGAGCAGCGCGGGGTTTGGGTTCGTCCGACGTAGTACGATGCAACCGCTGAGAGTCTGTCATACCTGGCTCCGCATCGGGTACAGCATGGTATGGGGAGTGAGGCGGGAGCACGCGCAGGAAGAAAAACCCGATGAACGTCAAGCCGAAAGTACCGTAAGCCAATAACATAAGAAATTTGCTCGGGCTTCCGGGGAAGAAGATGGAGCCGACGAGGGAAAAGAAGAAGGCGCTTAAACCGAAGGCAGCGAGAGGAAAGGCTGTTGCGGTGCCGCGATGGTGAGGCCAGTTCAGAGCCGAAACCTTCACGGCGGCAGCAAAGGCCATGCAGCCACCGAGACCGGTCAGATACGAGACGAAGCACATCCACGGAACGGAACCTTGACCGGCGTCATATGCCTGGTGGAGCGGGAAATAGCCTAGCCCGAGTAGAAAAGCGCCTACGATGACGGCGGGGCGAGGACCCTTGCTGTCGACAAACATGCCCACAGGGACGCCCATCGAATACATGCCGAGATTCCCCGCCAGTCCGATCAAATTGCTTTCTGTAGCAGACAAGAGTAACTTGTCCGCGAATTGGGGCGCCCATGCGGAATAGACATACTGTCGTCCGCTGTCAGATATACATCGAAGATAGGATATGTTAAGAGATATGATGATAAAAGCGTCTTACATTGGTTCCGCAGGCCAACGAGATAACGGTCGCGGCGATGCTCGACACCACACGAGCATTGTAAACCCGGCCCGCGACAGCCATATTTTTTTTTAATAAAGAAAAACCACGCGCAAGTCAGATATTAAGGGGTTTAGTTACGATGTCGTCGTGCCTTACATTTGCAGAGGACGTCGACAGGGGGATAAAAGGGGTGATAAAATAGTAGTATATCGGATAAGAAAAAGAACAGGGCTACGGGCAAACCAGTTTACGACAAATTGGATTAGGTTTAGGGAGGGAGTTAACAGAAAGAATAGAAACAAGCAAGATGGGAGGCTACGATACGGGACGACACGACTGGTCGCGTAACGCCGGAGAAAATAAGAAGATCGTGTTTTTAAATGCCTGGCTATACGATGCCGAAAGTAAGGATGGGGAAAACGAATGAAGTGTGTACAAAAGTAACCAAGCTTCGTTGTCGCAAAAAATGATAAAAATGATGAAAATTGATAGGGCGACGTTCGAAGGAGAGTGAGTGGGAGGGTTCAAACATTCAAGGACGTGTCGCAATCGCAATCCTTACGGTGGATGGTGGATCCTTGGATATGTGTGTCTTATCGGTCTTATCGGTCTTATCTGTGCTTCGTAAGTGGCTTTAAAACCTCCTGGTTACTGCCTTTAGTATTATATTACAAGTCTGATTGGATCGACGGCCGTTAGCGCGCTCCGGTATATCGGTCTCAGGTTGGCACGGCAGGTTCAAGCAAGATGTACCGAAATGGCTTTATCTTTATCTATTGTACATATGCACGGAGATATAATCCGTGTATACCATTAGGTTAGGTACACATGTGTATGCAAGTAATATGTAGTCCAAGGTACGTATCATTCATCATATTACCTAGGATATAAGTTGAAGGTAACACTACCACCTACCCTGCGTTTTGCATTTACTACTACTATGGTGTGGTACTATGTAATTGCATGAGAAATCGTGTATCGGTGAAAAGATTCCCATTACCATAGGTTGGCATTTGTTGGATATATTGATCATGGACGTCCCTGCTTAGCTTGGTGCTATACCTAATTCATAGTCACCGCTTGAGTACAGCTGGGACAGCTAATGCATTTTGAGCCTTGGCAAATCTTGGTAGATGTATTCTAGAATCAATTAACTATTAGTGAAGGATATGAATGAAAAGGGGGCTTGTTCCTTCGCTTGCTGTGAAAAAGGAGCAAACTGCCCGGCAGCCCGGCAGCTCGGCCGGTTTTTTCGAAGGATTCAAGATGGTACCAATTTGGGAATAGCGCTGTTTTATTCCAGTGCGGCGTGATAGGCCAATTATCGTTTTTGGTCGGACACAATCGTACGGTACCCCCTACAGTTCTCGGCAGTCATTTTTAGCAAGGGTTTTATTCTGGGGTAGCTTGGGTACATATGCGATGTTTTTCTCTTTTCAACGTCATTATCCGAGGCCAAATTGGAGAGATGTTGGAGAACCATTTTGGAGTTGTTAGGATACGGTAATCCGTCCTATTCTAACAGATAGGAGAGAAGAAGAAAATAAGTGGTATATATGGTAACCACGTATTTATAATACTTTTAAGTTATTAGTGTACCTAACATGTTATCGCGTAACTAAACCAATTAACCTACCCAGCTAGCTACCTAGGCAGGTGCCTACAACCAGCTAACCCAGCTAACATAATACCATATTCAGCTTAACTCTTCCCAGGTTTTGTCTGGGCTTTATATAACCCCCCCTTTTTTTTTCCATCCTCCAACTTCCAACTTCCAATTAACTAACTACTTGGGTAGAAAAAACCATCATGTGGCCCTTTAGTGGCGTTTAACCCCTTGAATAAAAAAAAGGGAAAAGTGCAAGCCTTCCAAATTAAATGCGTAATCACCAGTGGAGAAAATATGTCCTGCAGTTGCTCGCACCACCTCAGGAAACCACGTCGGGGAATAACACAACATTTCTAACCTCCAGTGTTGATACGTCATGTAATTGATGTGACCGCCCCCGCCTTCGTAACGATACACAACATACCTGTGTAATGAGTAACCGAGCCGCCCGCTCCTTACTTACTACCCTCTATCCTTTATATATCTCATCCAGGCCATGACCCGAGAATAACTTTCGTGTTTCTCTTTATCTTTTCATCTAACTATCCTCTTATACTATACATACCCTAGAAGTACCATATATAAAACATATTAGCCCTCATCGTTAGAATCATAGTCATCATAAGCACCATCACCACCCTTCATCATGGCTACATTTGCGAGCCTTCCTGTTGAGCTACGGCTTGAGATTTGGAATCTCGCCCTACACCAGGAAGCACATGATCGCTTACTTATAATAAGCCAGACCAGCAACATCCCCATTACCAATGAGACGCCACTCTGTCTCTTACCCCTCAAGCACCACGCCAGCCCGCTACTCTCAGTAAACTCCGAGAGCCGCGGTGAAGCCAAAGCGTTTTACACCGTCAAGCTTGACGTCTACGAGGTCCCTCGCCTCTCCAAAGAAGACATCACCAGTCGCAACAAATGCTCGTGCCAGGCGCAATACATCAACAAGATTGTTGAGAACGCCAGCGTAGTAAAGGGTTCCATCTATCTTAGTCCCCAATATGACTTCTTCGTCTCGGTTCGAGGCGTCGACACACTTCCATATCTCCAGGAGGACAAGAAGACAGTAGTCGACAAGAAAGAAGAACAACAGCAACAAGAAGAAGAGGAAAAGGAAAACCAGGAAAAGAATAGCCGCTACATCACGGCGCGGATACCGGCCGAGGTCGCCGCGCAAGTCCGCAACGTCGTCTGCGTGCAGAAGAACCTGGACCGGGACGACGACTTCTACGACTGGTGGTGGACGGACACGTACATGGACAACCTGCTGTACAACCGGGAGGAGCTCGTGCGGTTCCTGTGGGTGCCCCCCTACCGGCCCCGCCTGTACGGCCCCGTCTACGTCAGGTACCTCTGGAGGGCGTCCGACTTCAAGCACATCCAGAACTACCTTCACCTGTGGCTGCCACAGGACGAGCTCGACGGGTTCGTCGACGGCGTGGTCAGGAACCGCGGCCGCGGCGAGTACAGCTTCCGCAAGTGGCAGTTGGACCCGGCTAATCGGATACCCAAGTTGGTGTTGCTCGACTTGGACAATATGCCACGCAAGGAAGATGGAGAAGACTGTGCGCAAATCGAGAAACTAGCCAAGATGATACGATAGTTACCTAACTACATAGATACCTAAGGTAGTTGTTGAAGGGTTAAGGGTTGATTTGTAAGGGTTGTATTTTTTTTCTTTCTTTTTTTCTATTTGCAATTTTGGCTTTGGCTTTGGTTGAGCATTCTGGGAATCTTGGGTTGGTTTGAGCAGTTCAGGGTATCTGTTGTGGAGTTTTTTGGAGTCAACGTTGTATGAGATACTTGAGTAGGTAAAATGGGTTATGATGATCCAACGGTAGCAGTACATTCGCTTTTCGCGTCTCTTCAACAATGCGCATAACAATCGGTCCGTCCAATCATCCCCCACCTGTTCTCTACACAGCTGCCGTATCCAGTATTTCCCCTCGCAGAAAAAGCAACTTCGTGATGAAATATAACCCACAAAAGATGAAATGGAGCCATGTGATGAAGCGTAAAACCATCGCTAACACACTTGACATAAATTATATACCTAACTTCGGTATACATAGGATAGATATAAGGTTTTATGTCAATAAAGTCAACAAGCGTAATTGTTATTGCAACCCTAGGACAAATACGTAACCTCGGCTTACCTGGTTCCGCGCGCGGCGATTTGCTCTCCGGAAACCTATTTTCGTTGACCAAAGCAACGAATAACAACCACCAAACATAATCAACGATGAGGCCAATATTTTTAGAATGGAACAACTTGAACATCCCACCGGTTAGGATCGCGGATTCTGAAATGCCTTCCAACCATGCACCCTGGTGAACGCCTTGGTATCAACAGTAGCGTTGCATCGTATATAACATATAGTTGATGACGAGGCCTTTGCGACAAATATGTATATATGGGTGCTCCTGGCATAGCTTCGTGATGGTTTTTTTTACTTCAAACAGTCGATTGCTCACTGACTGTTTCCAGTATCGGTCTTCCAGGTGCAGTTTATAACTAATAGGTACTATATTGGACTACCGTTCACTATGCCTGTTTCAACCGCCTCTCTCCTCACCTTGCTCGGTGCCTTTGTCACCACAACTCTCGGGCACGGATACGTCACCGGTTACGTAGCAGACGGCGTGCAGAAGCCCGGCTTCCTCCTGCAGTACTACTACGACAAGAAGAACGGCCAGAGCGTGCCTCCGCTAGCCGCTTGGTACGCCGAAAACCTCGACAGCGGGTTCGTGGCTCCGGATGCCTACCAGACCGCCGACATCAACTGCCACAAGAACGCCGCTCCGGGCGCGCTGACGACGACGGTGAAGGCCGGCGGCACGGTAGTGTTCCAATGGGGCACGGCGGCGGGGGGAGCGTGGCCGCACCCGTACGGGCCGATCATCGACTACATCGCGCCGTGCGACGGGGACTGCAGCAAGGCGGACAAGACGAAGCTCAAATGGGTCAAAATCCAGGCGAGCGGGATCGACGCGGGCACGCAGGAGTGGGCGAGCGCGAAGCTGATCGCGAACAACAACACGTGGACGACGCCGATCCCGAAGTCGATCGCTCCGGGCAACTACGTGCTGCGGCACGAGATCATCGCGCTGCACGGGGGCGCCTCGCTCAACGGCGCGCAGTCCTACCCGCAGTGCTTCAACATCCAGGTCACGGGCTCCGGCACCGCGAAGCCCGCCGGGACCCTCGGTACCGCCCTGTACAAGAACACCGACCCCGGTATCCACTTCAACCCGTACACGACTATCACGGATTACCCGATGCCTGGCCCGGCGCTATTCACCGGTTAGCCTAGTCTAGGTTAGGTACCTACCTAGGTATGTAAGGGGGAATTCTTGAATGATTCGGCGAAATGTGGATAACTCGGGTAAGAAAAAGTCAGAGTCCACGAAGGTGGTGAGATCTGATGTAGCTCGAGAATGAATAACTAGATGAACTATTAAATTTATTTATATCCATAACTGAATTGCATGATTTTAAAAGTTAGGTATTTAAGTGAACACCAATGCTAGAATAATTTTCATATAGAAATACATCTACTATGTACTTCCTACAAATGTTACCTAAATCTGATCTCCACTTTAAAGTTACTGTATCTTATCCGCGCGCGTCGCCTGGTGGCATGACCCTACGTAATGTCAATTGCCAAGTCCATAAACCATACGGTACAGTATAAATGGTCCGTGCGTGAATTCCACCATCACAGCCCCGTTCCTTAGGCCAACTTCGACTTCGACCACAACAACCTCATCCTATCACAAGCCTATTCTAGTCCTATTTTCCCTTCAACAACAAAAACCATATTCGAAATATTCCCGAATTCTCAAGAATAATAAGAAACAACAAACTCGATATCAAACCCCGCCATCCAGGATGGGAGCGCTCCTATCTATTCCCTTCCTGGCGGTGCCCAGCGCCGGCACGGTACGTCCAAGTAACCCGATGCAACGGCTATAATCAAGAACACCAAAAACTAACACTAAACCAGCTGATGTCCTGCTTTGCGAGCTGCTGCGGTGCTGCTACCTGCTCTATGGTATGCAGCGCTTGCGGGAAGTGCGGCAACAGGTAAAGAGATATCCAAGATTCTATCCTTCTATCCCGCTTCCAATGACATGACATGACATGACATGCCGTTGTCGCAGAACGCAAGAGACTAACATCGAACTTCCAAGTGTTGCTACCCGTATCGCCTACGCCCTGCTCCTCCTAGTTAACTCCATCCTCTCGTGGATCATGCTCACGCCCTGGGCTATCGAGAAGCTACAACACCTCATGTTAGACTACGTCAAGATCAATTGTCCGAACGGCCAGTGTTACGGCTGGCTGGCTGTCCATCGCATCAACTTCGCCCTCGGCCTCTTCCACCTTATCTTCGCCTGCCTGCTATTCGGCGTCGCCTCTACGAAAAACCCGCGAGCTTCCTTGCAGAACGGCTTCTGGGGCCCCAAGATCATCGCCTGGCTCGCCCTCATCGTCATGTCGTTCCTCATCCCCGACGCCTTCTTCCAGGTCTACGGCAACTACATCGCATTTATCGGCGCCATGCTCTTCCTCATCCTCGGCCTTATCCTCCTCGTCGACCTCGCCCACAACTGGGCTGAGTACTGCCTCGAGCAGATCGAGAAGACAGACTCCAAGGTCTGGAGGGGCGTGCTGATCGGCTCGACCCTCGGCATGTACGTCGGCTCGCTGGCCATGACCATCATCCAGTACTGCTTCTTCGCCCACAGCGGCTGCTCCATGAACCAAGCCGCCATAACCATCAACCTCCTGCTCTGGATCGCCATCTCCGTCATCTCAGTCCACCCGACCGTCCAGGAGTACAACCCCAAGGCCGGCCTTGCGCAGGCCGCCATGGTCGCGGTATACTGCACGTACCTCACCATGTCCGCCGTCTCCATGGAGCCCGACGACAGGCAGTGCAACCCCCTGGTCCGCGCTCAGGGCACCCGCACGACATCCGTGGTCATCGGCGCCATCGTCACGATGCTGACCGTCGCGTACACCACCACGCGCGCAGCAACCCAGAGCCTCGGCCTGGGTAACAGTCGTGGCGGCATCAAGCTCCCCGACGACGACGAGCACGACCTTGTGACGCAACAGCCGGGACGTCGGGAGATGCGAGCCGAGGTGTTGCGGCGGGCGGTCGAGCAGGGCAGTTTGCCCGCGGACGCCCTATTAGAAGAAGATGATGACGAGGACGACGAGGAGAGCAGCGGCAAGACGCCGCACGACGACGAGCGGGGCAGCACGCAGTACAACTACTCGGTGTTCCACATCATCTTCTTCCTGGCGACGTGCTGGGTGGCCACGCTGCTCACGGGCACAGTGCAGGGGCTCGACAACTTCCCGCAGGACAGCGACTTCGCGACCGTCGGGCGCACGTACTGGGCCAGCTGGGTCAAGATCGTCAGCGCCTGGATCTGCTACGGCATGTACATCTGGACCCTGGTCGCGCCTATCGTCCTGCCGGATCGGTTCGCCTGAGAAAGTACCTTACTATATATATCGGAGTTACCTTGACTTTTTTTTATTTCTTTTGTGTGTGGGTGTGGGTGTGTGGCTGTATCATTTAGTTGGTTTTACTTACCTAGGTACTTATCCTGCTGGGTTAGAAGGGTTGGAACGTTGGAAGCATTGCTTTGCCTACCTAGGTAGGGAGGTATGAAAGTGTAGTTTTCTATATTGGTAGCGAGGTTGAATTGAATGCTCAGTTGCATGGGTTATTTTACCCCTTTTAATATGTCGCGTCCCCTCGTATATGTTATTTCATATAACGGTCGTTCCTCTTGATTTAAGGAGTAACCACATGTCATTACGATGGCTAATTCTACAGGATACGCTACCAACCCATCTTGAATACTGACGGGGTGTAGTTGACTGTGGAGGGCCACTAGTTTCTTGTAGTTACGCATATGAGAAAATTACAGGGTCTGATCTTTGGTTGACTACAGGTAGGTACCTAAGGGTAATTATTTCTCGTATTATCTTCTTTTGCTTGCTTATACTGCACATTCTAGGTAATTTCAAGAGCTTTATTGCTATGGATGTCTAGGTGTGAATAATTGTTACATGTTAAACTACGTAGGTGAAGATATCTCGAATTGTATGTCAAGCTTTGAAAGGCTACGTTAGAGGGGATAAGAGCCAGGTCTTCTTATGAAGCTGTTACTTTGTGCTAGGTCTTCTGAGTGTGACCTAGTTAGAAAGGTTGTATACACACTGGAAGTTCCTCTATATACTAGTTTCTCCTGCCCGTTACCTCCTACCTTTGTTTAAACAACTATCTAATACCAAAGAAAGAGAGCCGCATGGATTGTCATAGATGCTTTGAGAACAAGACATACATACTCATACCCGACAACATATCTTCCCATCTAAAGGAAAGGAAGGCACATATATATACCTGAACAACAAACGTCTCGTCAACCGACCCCGCAAAAAGGGACTCTTCCCTGGGTGACAGGAGGCCAGAGAAAGCATCATGATTTGGATTACTGTCATTTGGCTCAATTGTCTTAACGCTCGTGGGGGAACGTGAGTGGGAGAGTTGAGCGTCGGTGATAGTATGAGTCAACGTGAGGTTTTTCGTAGGCCCTGGGTTCAACCCCAGGACTGAGCTTTTTTTCTTTTCTTTTGTTTTCTTGGTCGTCTTTTAATCTTCTTTTAACTTATCGTTCCCATAGCCCCCCTTTCTATCTCTTATTTAACGAACCTTTGCTAGCATCAGCACTTTAAGTAAAGTAAATTTTCTATTTATAATATGTTCCCCCCTCTTCACCCCCTTTTCTCCCAACCATTCCCTATTCATATCGCCTTAACATATAAGTCTTCGACTACCCAAAGTCTCTCATCTAACGGTACGCCCTAGATAGATGACACACATACCGTACTACGTCCACTTAGACTTATATCTATTTCCGCGGCGCTTGCAGCGGCGGCTGAGTAAACTCCCGCATACGTCGTATAAGGCTTTAGCACCGTCGACTCACATCAGACCAAATAGTGTCACCGCAACGTCAACGACGAAAATGGAGGTAGGTAGTATAAACACCAAGATAAGCTAATTATAATTCGGCACAAGTAACACGGGTGTAGCCCCTCGCGGTGGCACAATGTGAATATGATAGAAGGAAGGTAAGGAAGGTATTGACAGTAAACAGGCGGCTATGCGGTGGGACGTCTTAACCGAGGATAACAAAGATGTTCTTTTTTTCGATAGCTTGTTGTATTTCTTAAGCCTCTAACTCAGCGTCGGTATCACGTAGTATACACGATATCATACTAGCTAGCTAGGTTAGTTTGCGTCGAGTATTTAATAAAAGTTGTTATCTATCAGGGACACGAGGGACACAAGTACAATTTTGGCTAATACGACGCCACGATCTCTATCCCTTTTGCGGCACAAGAAAAAAAGGGGTAAGCAGTTAAACAAACTCTCTTCGTTCATAATCCGCCTTTCGGGTCTGATCACCTCCGTGTAACGACCCCATATACAATACGCAATGTCGAAAACAAGCTGCTCGATAGTCAAAACAAACTATCATGCCATGACGTCTATCGAGTCTTATTGTATTTAGAGTTAATCTGTGGTTGGGTAGTCTATACGGAAGGATATGTACGATGCCGACGCCCAGGGCGACGTCAGAGCCTCACCAGGCACTACACTACTACACCTAATCAGCCCATCCAAGCCCTGTCGGTACTTGTTGACGAGGTCTTACCAAAAATCGGGGTTCGTCAGGGGCATGGCTTTCTCATGTGAGCCATTTTCCCCACTAATGCATAGAAGCAACTTTGCCATGTGCCAGACCCTACCTGGTTGTGCTCGAATGTGTTGCTGTTGCTGCTGTTGTTGCGTTGGCCGTGATCACCAAGCGGCAAGCAGCTTCATATAAATTAAAGCGAATCTCACGTACAGGGCACAGCTGAAAATGACATATCATTCTGCGGGATGAGAAAAATAAATAGATAAAATAATAATGACAACAACAACAGCAACAAATGAATGACGTGATAACGACCCTCTTCTTGAGTCTTTCCTTATCTTAGGCACGTAAGGAAGGCGCTTCGTCGTCCGGTAAGGTCGGCTCATTGGCCTTCTAGAAACGAGGCTGATCGGGTAGGTGCTTCGACTATCGCCGGACAAGCTCTGTAGGGCCACAAGATGTACTTGTCACTACCTAACCTTAGGTATTGTACAGTAGATAGGTAAGGTAGGTATAGGTTAGGTACCTTCTCCTACGTAGGACGCGTGTGCCCATTCTAGATAGGCACAGGATGCAGAAAAAAAAACCTTCCTTTACGCAAGAAGATTATACGGTATAACGACCCAAGGAGGTACCTAACCTATGATGTCGCTCGGGGGACAGGAGCATAAATCACCCGATATTCACAGATATATGTGGAGATGGATGTCTTAACAATACGCCGACCTACATACATTACAAGGCTCCCTCCCATATTCCGACTTTGTTTGCTCCATGCAATGCATATACCTGACTTAACCTGACCTAACCTCGCAGATAGGTAAACGAAGAAGAGGCTTCCCCGGTGATACCTTATTGCGAGTAATGGGCTGGTAGAAAGCTGTTATCGAACTACCTACCTATGCACCCATACCAATTTATCGAAATGCTAAGACAGCAAACACGTTTTATTGGCGTTGTACTGCCTCTCTGATGTCTCTGATTCCTGTAAACGGTGGGGGGAGGGGAGAAGAGAGAGGACCGTACCTAAAGAAGGGGAAAAGGGTCTCACACAATAGGGGTGGGGAGGGGGGAGGAGGGAAGACGAACGTTCCCCAAGTCGGCGAATCAGAAGTCAGACGCGGACAAGACGAGGCCTAGGTAGTCGTAAAAGTTCATCCACCTAAGCGCTTCCGGGGACTACCTAACCTAACCTAACCTAACGTATACCTCTAGGTTAGGTAGCCAACGCGAAGAAAGACGGCCGAGTGAGAGTGTCTCGATCGCCCATTAAAGGCGGTGAGGAGCTGCAATTCAGGTAGCCTCTGACGGAACATACCTAGACGTAGACGCAGACGTAATGTAATGGGTATCGACGGGTACGCGCATGTTTCCCTTTTTTGCAAGGCGCCAGTTCACCTGACCATCCCACCGTCCACCGTCCACCGTGGCGTTTGTGTCGAACTCGAACTGTTTCTTTCGAGGTCTCGTTAGTCCCTCCGGGCCTTGTAGATCGGATTAGTGGCGCCTGTCTATCTGATCCTCTACCCTAGATTCGGGATAGTCTGGGATGTTGTGTGTGTATGTGTGTGTGTGTAGGTATGCGAAGAAAATCCTTCTTTTCGGCCTAAATGAAAAGAAAAAAAAAGCAACTACTTCGTTTGTTTTTCCATATCAAACCATTTTCTGTTCCTGACCGGTCAAGAGAGCCAGCCAACAAGGGGGGGCTTATGGACAAGGTGATGGATGAGCAGCGGCTCTTGGCAACATTGGGGATCGTCTTCTACAAGCCGAATACTTCGCTAAGCTATACCTAATTCCACTACGCAGCGTGTGCTGTTGCGTTTGCGCATGTCCCGTGTTATTGGCTGACGAAAGCCACAGTAACACATTGAAGATCGATAATGCAGAGCGATCGTTGCACGAGCTGGGGGTTCTTCTAGTTCGGCTTTTCTTCTTCTTCTTTCTTCGAAGCGTTCCCTGTTAGATTTGACTCATCCGTACGCGAGCCTGTGTGATAATAGACTTATGCTGATGTGACTGACCAAGTTTTGCAGTAGTCATATCCTTACACTTCTTGTTATCTCCTCCGTCTTAGAAGGCCCAATGGAAAGTCGTTCCCAGCACTACAAGTCGGCGTGGAGGAGTGATAGTCCAACAGGAAGAAGTTATGTAAGGATATCTTAGGTAGGTAGACACCCAAACACTACGAATGCAATTTTGCTACTACCAATCCTCGTGTATATATAAGAGGGAGGTATAGTCATGTTCAAGTGAAGAGCATTGGATCGGCAGATTCACCCAATCGGTTCTGATCTTCGATATCATTTTCTCATAAGACTATCAGTTTCAACTCTGGACTTGTTTCCTTAGAGTTACCTATTAGCCATCGTTAGGCCTTGTATCCACCCCTTAATGCTCACTTCTCTTTCAACGAACGCAATGCCACATAGCACTCATGAGGGCGAGGAGATGCCAGACTGGTTCGTTGAGAGTACTGCCGCCAATAAGATTTTAATACTAAATAACGAATATAGCACGCATGGCACCCAGACCGATAGCGGTTCTGCCCAAGGGAAATCCCAGCAAGGGGGAAGTTCTTCTCAAACAACCATGCTGGAAATTTGGGTAAATGAGACTGGACGCGAGAAACTCCCATTCAGCGAGGTGATCCAGCAACCAGCTGCCCAGTATGCGTTATTCCTCTCCGGTTTATTGTTATCCATATGCTAAGTGTAGTAGGTCTAGGCCACCCGCGGAGCATTAAATCTGTGAGACTCTATATCAACGTGTACATGTAACCCAGGGAAAAAACCAAGCCCTTGCACAGAAGGCCAGGAGGTGGGTGGGTGGATGAGCGTTACAATCCCTTATGTACAATGATTAGTACGAGCAGGGGTGGGCGGGCTAGCAATGGAATATGGCTTTTTTTTTTAATTGTTGGAATGCGTCTTTGCTGCAGTGTCACACATCAGCATGTGTAATTGGCTCCGAAACACGGAATTCCCGCAGGATCTTAAGATAATGTAGGCTCAGACGACGTATCGTTGCTCGAATTTGTGCTTCCATCTTGTGTTGTAGCTCCTACTGCATGAAAGCCGTCCAGTGTAATTGTCACTGCACCTGCTTGTACGAGCTGATTGATATTAGTATAACGATGATGTAAAAGCTGAACCCATGCCGTGGCACTTACTGCACGAGATAGGTCGTCGACCAGGTCATGGACATCCTCAATGCCAACACAGAGTCGAATGATGTCCTCGGGCATCTGCCTCTCCTTTCTTGTCTTTGCGTCGATGCTAGCATGGCTCATACGGCACGGCATACTGATTAAACTGTTGACACACCCGAAGCTCACGCTGATCCCGTACAGCTTCGCAGCTTCGACGATCCTCTCAGATAAGGCGACGTCACCCGTCTCGAACGATAGGACTGCACCGGCGCCCCGCGCCATAGACCAATGGAGATCGTATTGCGGATGAGATTTCAAGCCAGGGTAACGTACGCGGAAACCGTGGGATTCAAGAAATTCGGCAAGTACTTGAGCGTTTGCTTGTTGTTTTTCCATACGAATTGAAAGTGTTTTTACCCCCCTCATGAGAAGAAATGAGTCATTCGGAGAGAGACCACAACCGGTAGCGTTAATAGTGAAATACATCTTGTCACCAAGAGAAGTGTCATTGCACGCGATGACGCCTGCCATAATATCGTGATGGCCTGATAGGTATTTAGTGCCTGACTCGTATACTATATCCGCTCCGAGCTCGAGTGGATTGCATAGCATAGGCGATAGCATAGTATTGTCAACAACGACGAGGGCCTTGGGATTGGCGTCGTGGACAGCTTTCGCGATCGAGGGGATGTCGACAATCTTGATTAAGGGATTGGTCGGGGTCTCTAAGAGGACCATGGCAGTCTTGTCCGAGACGACCTCGCGTACTTTTTCGACTTCTGTGGTATCCACATGGTGGACAATGATCCCTTGATTCGACGATAGATATGTAAGTAGCCGGTTGGTACCCCCATACAAATCATCACCAGTGATCACCTCGTCTCCAGGACGCAATAACCTGGTGATAACATCTAAAGCACCCATGCCGGAACCAACAGCAAGGGCTCGGTTAGCATTCATAATCTTAGCCATGTGGCGCTCTAGATGCGTTCGGGTCGGGTTGCCCGATCGTGTGTAGTCATATTCATCGCCACCTTTAGAGGAGGTCTGCTTAAACGTAGCGGACTGGTAGACCGGGATGCTCGAGGCACCATATTGGTCTTTTGTTTCGGTATAGACAAGTTCAGTGGCAAGAGCATAGCGCCGACGGCCGTTGGAAGGACTCGAGGGCGCAGGTGAAGGAGGAAGGTTGTGCCCATCGAGGTCAACCTTAGAAAAGGCCTTGTTTAGAGGTTTAGAGTCTTCCATGGCTAGTTGATTGACGAGATGAAAACGGCACGTCCCGGCGGTTAAATGGAATCTAACGACTTAAATTTTAGACCCAGACCTCCTTTCTTTTTCTTTCTTTCTTTTTTTTTTCTCTTGTGTATCAGCAAGATTACTAGAAATCAATTGACTTGCTTAATGACTATTAATTTATCGTACTCTTTGTACTCTTCGTATAAAAGAAGGTCGTATGAGTAAATTAGGACGATATTGATTTCGAGGTAAAAACATGAAAGACTAAAAAAGAAGTATTCAAAATTTAGGTATGATGACAGGATGCAAGTCTCGTAAGAAATTCCGTGATCGCTAGTCCGAGGTCGTCAGGTTGTACAGCTTTACTCAAGAGGGCGGATAGTGTGGGGTCATAGCGTTCCTTGCAGCATCCGGTTATCGGGTTGGAGAGGCAGAGAGGTAAAATCTGGGGAAGACGCGGGTATCGCTATAGATGACGTGATTTTGGGCGGTCAGGGGCGGTGGACAAAAAGCAGCCGATCGGGTTTACCATGTCCGATGTACCTCCCACCTACCTGGGTACCTAGACCTAAGGTAAAGTGGCCTGTGCGCCAAGACCTCAGCACGTTGCTTGAACCCTCAGACCCTCTGGCCCCTTAGGTGGTATGCCCGTAGGGCTGACGTCTAAGCTGCCACGCTGCCACGGTACCTGGCAGACGTGGGAACCTTATTTTTCATTTTAGATACCTACCTAGGTATAAGCAATGAAAACATTATATGCATAGGCTGAATTATCGTCGAGATCCTAACGCTAAACAAAATACGTTAATGAATAGGTATTTTAGAAGGTCTTACGAATATCGACCGAATAGAAAACAAATTGGTCAAACACCCACGTCTACTATCTACCTAAGTACCTAATATATTGCGAGACACTTAAAGCCTTATATCAACTATACCTACAGCCAAAGTTCCCATAGATTAGAGGCTCATTTACCAAGAACCATGCCATCATCATACGTTAGGTACTTGTAATTCTATCGCGATCGGTAATGAAGGTTTCAACAGCTCAAGAGATACTCTCAAGGTATCAACGCCGATGAAAACAAATTCATCGCTAGAATTCATAACAATGTACAGAGCCACATCTTTCCAAACCAATGTCTAGTGCTGACTGCAACCCAAGTGGTGATTGTTAAAAAGAACCCTGGTTATTCCGACGTAAACGCCTTTCTCCATACCTCCTAATAGTTCATATAGTTAATATTTATTCAAAACACGCATTTTATGTAGAAGCCTCCGTAGTAGCCTCCGTGGCGGCCTCTGCAGTCTTCGCACCCGTGGTCGACGTCTCTACGGTTTCCCCATCGTCCTCGACGTCTTCGTACTCGTCACTCGATGACTTCGCTCGCGAGTGATTCTGCATAAGAATCTGGCCTCCGCCTTTTCGTCCAAAGAAATCCTCTGTACGAATGCCCCGTACTTGTGTTGGGTCAACGGTTGACATGGAGCTTCCGCTTGCTCGGTGTTGGCGAATATACTCGCGTACCGGGGCCATAGCCGCATCGCGACAAGCTTCCTTGATATCGCTACCAGACATGCCGGCTGTTACTCTCGCGATGTACTCGATGTTGAAGTTATCCGGATCGGTCTTAGTATCCTTAAGAACAAGCTGAAGAATTCGTAGTCTTTGGTTTTTATCCGGTAATGACACGGGGAACTTCTTGGGCATTCTGCGGAGAATAGCCTCGTCGATATCATGAATGCGATTCGTGGCCCCGAGCACAACAATCCTGGCGGGGAGCCCTTGTGTGTTTGCTGAAGTAAGGCCGTCCCATAACGTCATGAACCTATGATTCATCGTTAATTACAGAAAGCGATCATGCGATGAGTGTCCTTACTCTGCTTTAACCATGCCGCTGGCTTCGTGTTCACCACTTCTCCTCGTTCCCAGTACCGCATCTATCTCATCGATGAATATGATTGCTGGTTGTAGTTTACGAGCAAGAGAAAACACTGCCCGGACGAGCTTGTTTGAATCTCCGTACCATTTCTCGGTTAGGGTTGAAATATGAAGGTTGATGAATGACGCGCCGCTTTCATGTGCAACGGCCTTTGCCAACATGGTCTTTCCACAGCCTGGGGGACCGTAGAGCAATACACCGGATGGAGCAGATAACAAGGGCGCTGCGTGAGAATAGAGATGCGGCATCGTCAGCGGATATATGACGGACTCCTTAACTTCCTCGATAATATCCTCCAAGCCGCCGATGTCTGCCGTAGGTATTAGAATCACAAACCCAAGCAGGCAAGGAAAAAGCAGGCGAGGAAAAAGTGTGCTAACCGTCAAATCCAACAGGTATGTCTTCCGGTGGAACTACCTCTAGCGCAACAAGGTTCTCATATTCGTTAAGGACCAAGTCCTCTATCCGTGGACCCCGTTTTGAGTCGTTCGAGTCTTCCTCATTGCCGTCTTCTTCATGCCCTCTTGATTTCTGTAGCCTCTGAAGGTTCGCTTTCGCTTTGAGCCGAGCCTGTTCGCGTTTCTCCTTGTCTGGGTCGGCGAGAGTTCCTTGAATGGTTGATATGACATTTCTCGTGAGAAACCAAGCGGCTCCAGCCTGGTTGAATGGTGTTAGTAGTGCTAAACCAGGCACATATAGACGGGTTATATGTGGGTGATTATATTCAAACGACCTTAACTTACTGTGCCCAGGATCAAGAGTAAGTCCCAGAAATAATCAGGCCCATTTCGTCTTCGGTCAACCATGGCGAAAGACTGCTTGATCCCGCTGAGAATCATTGGATACGCCTCCCAGTTGGCTGGGAGAAATTAAAGATGGTCGAAATGCAGCCGGGTGTGGATTAGCTGGAGTTAAAAGGAAACGCCACAATATTAGATTACCAAGGTAGTCGGGCGTAACGTTATGTACAAGTCCGACTCAAAAAATAAAAATTGGAAAATTGGAAAATGTTGGATTGGAGCATGCCCATGCGTACATACGTGTCTCTGCGCTTACTTACACCCGTCTCACTCTAACCTAGGTACATGGTATAGGTACCTTAAAAGTATCAATTGCCACCACATGTGGAACGTGGCTGCCTTACCCAGAGTTTTAAGGCACGCTCTGCTGTCCACAGGTCTTATCGATTATCTTTACATGCAGCGGCCGTGCTTGGCTGGCTTGTGTACTTAGGTACTTCCATGGATTCTGATCTCCTTACATAGTGCATATTTTTGTTTATTTTTGGACCCTCCAATCCTAAACATGATTGGTGACAAACATATCCCACTTTCAATCGCAACAATCTTATGTAGGATAACTTACTTTATCCCCACGGTTCCTAGTTCTTCTGTTGCATGACTGACATAACCATATGAGAATTAGAGCAATTCAAAATTCATACAGTTTGCATCATATCATTATTCCGCTTAAATATAATTGGGTCTAATTAGACTTACACACGGCCTCATCAAAAACCACAAGCCACAACGCGCGCTGCTAATTTGTTGTCGCGTTCAATGTTAAAAGCGAAAACTGCTGCATTACTCCAGCTAGTAGATTCAGGCGACGACGAAGAAGAAGACATCTTAACCGAAGGGGCAGACCCTGCCGCAAAAATGGCTCCGGGTAGGAAAACTCGCGGGACGGCTGCGAACCAAGAAGCCAACCCAACTCAGAATGCGACGCGTCAAATAAATGGAAAGACGGCTGCTGCCGCTAAAGGTGCCGTCGCAACGAAACCCCCTGCGCGAAAAGCCTTAGCTGATAAATCAGCGAACGTACAAGAGAAAACCACACGAGGGAAAGGAAACAAACGACCTGCCGTAGATGAGATTGCGCCCGTAGCGGAGGATGAACTAGAAGAAGGATCGACGATTAGTGACGCGAAACCTAAAGGCGCGAGGGGTCGACCGAGAGCCGCGAAGATAGCGAAAATATCCAAAGACGACGAAATATCAACAATAGATCAATCGGAATCTGTTATTCGACCAGTAGGTAGAAGAGGACGCAAACCGAAGACGAATATCGATACATTACCTGAGGAACCCGAAATACCAGAAACCCAACCAGTCGAGAATGAAATTCCGGAGACGCAAGCGGTCGAGGCGACGGAATTAAGCGTAGAAGAATACGACCAAATGGAGGATCTGCCATCTCACAATGTCCACGGATTATCCTCTGTCCAACGCATTCAGTCGCGGAACATCTTTGGTATAAACGAAAGAACAGTACCAGCATCGGACTCTGAGCTTCATGAACCATCGATGAGACGGCGAGTAGGGGAACTAAGCAGGAAGTATGAAAACTTGGAAGCAAAATACCGGGATCTACGAGAGATTGGGATAAAGGAAGCAGAACGCAATTACGACCGACTCAAAAAACAATCGGAGGAGAGAGCTAATAGTAAGTACCAAACGAGGGCGATTTACACATGTTGAAGAGGAAACTAATTATTCCTAGCTGCAAATCAACTCATCGAGACTTTGAAAGCGCAGTTGTCGGCCCAAACTGAGTTAGCTAAAGAAGCACAACGTCTGAGACAACAGCTAGAGGCCAGTCAAGCTAAAGCCGATCAATTGCAAAGCAAAGTCGACGATACCAGTGCCTCGTTAGCTGAGGCGAAGACGGAGGTCAAGACACTCACTACAAAGCTTGCTGCCGCCCGATCAGCCGAAGCAACTGTCACTAAGATTCCTGGTAGTGCTATTAAAGGATCAAGTGCAAACAACCGACTTCTGGCTAATGCTGAGGCTGCAGCTCAAGTGGCGCAAATGAAGGAAGACTTATACGGAGACTTGACTGGCTTAATCGTCCGTGGCGTCAAGCGGGAGGAAAGCGGTGAGACTTATGATTGTATACAGACAGGTAGAAACGGGAGTAAGTCTTTTTTCTTTCTTTTTCTTCTACTTTTCCGCTTCTATTATGCCCCTCCTTCTCAACTATTCAGGCCATGAAACGCGGACTAACTTATTTCTCCAGCTCTTCACTTCAAGCTAGTCGTGGGAGGCGATGATCTCACAGAGCCACTTGACGAGCCTCAATTCAGATACATGCCTCAGTTAGACCCAAGTCGCGATCAGGATTTGATCGATATATTGCCCGACTATCTCGTCGAGGAAATCACTTTCCCTCAATCACACGCTGCGCGGTTCTACGCGAGAGTAATGAAGTCACTCACAGAGCGTCCAGAATATGAGTGAAGAGAGGACAATGGACAATGCCCCTTTATTTGTTTTTTTTACCCAGACGAAGTTCGGACGGATGGGAAACGAACTGTTGTAGATATCCCAGATACCAGAATATAATACTTTATCGTTCAGTACCCCTTATATTCAGATAAGGAGTTAAGCTAATAAGGGTCGGGCTGTACCTTAGGTATATAAAGCTGAGTTGATCTAGGTATTCCCCACATATGTACCGATGTACCGATGTAATCAGCCCTGTCTGTGAGTCTGGAGTCTGTGCACCCGCAGAACCCGTATCCTGGTACCTTAGGTATGTAAGGATCCCTGCAAACCCAGACGCGGTTTCCCCAAGACGACACGACAACCTTGACGGCCGCTGCAAAAGTGGCAGAGTGGGTTGCAACCTGTCCAAATTTCAACTTGCGACTTGCACCTTTGCACCTTTACCTTGAAGAGAGCTGAGAATTATATACTTTTGCCTTTTGCCTTTTGCCTATTTCCTATGGATCCCCATTGGGATAACCAACAACCCATCTCACCTACAAACTCGATATTTTGGTGAGGCGCTTCTTCACTTAACTTCCGCCTCTTCCGCTTCACATAGAACAGACTTGTCCTTTACAGTTTATAGCGATGGCGGGCACCAGTCGCTTTAAATTCCTGGCTATAGCCGTGGTATTTCACCTGATTTACATCTATTCTATTTTCGATGTCTACTTTGTTAGTCCTATTGTTAGTGGAATGCAATTGTTCCGCGTGGAGAGGCCCCCAGGAGTTAAGGCGCCGGCGGATCGACTTGTGCTTTTTGTTGGTTCGTACTGTTCCTTTATAGAGTGTCAGGTTGTATTATTCTTGCTAACGGGGGTGTATTACCTAGGCGATGGATTGCGCGCAGACAAGGCTTTCCAGTCGCATCCCGAACCGTTCCCTGAAACCGAAGCCGACGAGGTCCCGAGACCACTCGCGCCCTTCTTACGTTCGCGTGTGCTAGAGCATGGCACCTTTGGCGTTTCCCATACGAGAGTGCCCACCGAATCCCGCCCTGGACATGTCGCTCTGATTGCAGGCCTTTACGAGGATGTTTCTGCTGTTGCGACTGGCTGGAAATTGAATCCGGTCAACTTCGATAGCGTCTTTAATAGAAGTGCGCATACATGGAGTTGGGGTAGTCCTGATATTCTACCCATGTTTCAACATGGCGCTACTCCTGGTAGGATAGATGCGGACTACTATGATGCAGAGTTCGAGGACTTTTCCAAGGATGCGCTTGAGCTAGATATTTATGTATTCGATCACGTCAAGGAGGTTTTTGCTGCCGCGCAAAAGAATAAGACCCTAAATGATGCTCTAAGGCAAGAGAAAGTCGTCTTCTTCTTACACCTTCTGGGATTGGACACGACTGGTCATTCATATCGACCATACTCAAAAGAATACCTTAGAAATATTAAAGTCGTCGACCAAGGCGTCAAGGAGATTACGGAGCTAATACAGAAGTTCTACGGTGACGACAGGACGGCCTTCGTATTTACGGCTGACCATGGTATGAGCGATTGGGGGAGTCATGGAGACGGCCACCCGGATAACACCAGGACCCCTCTCATCGCATGGGGCTCAGGCGTAGCAAAGCCGTCTGTGTATTCAGGCACCATTGCTCCTGGTCACGATGAATACTCGTCAGATTGGAATTTAGACCAAATCAAGAGAAATGACGTACAACAAGCGGATGTTGCTGCTCTGATGGCTTACTTGATCGGTGTTGAGTTCCCTGCGAACTCCGTAGGGGAACTTCCACTCTCATACCTGTCTGCAAGCATCAAAGAAAAGGCTGAGGCATCTCTAGTGAATGCACAGGAGATCCTAGAGATGTATAAAGTGAAAGAGAACAGCAAGAAGGCAACGGAAATAAGATACCGGCCTTATAAACCCTTAAGCGAGGAGAGCGGTTCATCCCCCGAAAGTCGAGTGTCCTCTATTAGAAAGTTAATCGATAATGGGAACTTTGAAGAGGCTATCGAGGAGTCTGCAGCATTGATGAAAATTGGACTGGAAGGAATGCGCTATTTGCAGACTTATGACTGGCTATTCTTGAGAGCTCTCATTACCATTGGCTATTTTGGGTGGATGGCGTACGCCTTGACAACTGTTTTGGATCTACATGTGTTGCAAGGTACCGCCCAGCCCTCGAGGAATCTTGCTGGAGCAATTGTCTTCTCCTCGATCCTTGTTACACTTTACGCATCATTCATCATATCCCACTCGCCCGTCACCTACTACGCCTATGCATTCTTTCCCGTATTTTTCTGGGAAGAAGTTTACGCTCGTAGAGACAGCTTGCTTAGGGGAAGACAAGCCTTATTTGGGCACATCAAATCCGGCCCCAATATTATATCTCTCTTGCTCAACGCAGTCATTTATGTTGGCATCATCGTATCGCTGGTAAATATTCCTTTTCAGTTTTCTAAAAGACTTCTCCAGATGACTAACATGAACTAGGCATTTGGATACATTCATCGCGAAATCTTTACCGTCTTATATATCATAGGAGCATTATATCCTTTGACTTCGGGGATATCTTTCCTCCGGAAGTATTGGGTTCTCTCTGCTACCTGGTTTGTATCATGCCTGTTAATGAGCGTTTTCACTTTACTACCAGCAATGAAAATCGAAAACATACCCCTCATGTAAGTTAACTTGGCCCCCTTTCATATGTATGTAACAAACTGACATGTGATAGCGTTATTGGTGGTGCGTTGATGGTTGTTGTTGGCATTGTGTACCTGATCTTCGAAGATAAATTCCTAGCGACTTCTTCGAGTCCGAGGAAAGACAGCACATTGCAGAAGGGCAATGAAATTTCCCGAACTTTAATCGGGATCCAGGTCAGTTTCCAATTTCTGTCTACTAACGTGCCATATTAACTCTACTAGGTCGGGCTTATCATACTCGCTATGGTCGTAACTCGGAGCAGTGCTCTATCACTTCAAGCAAAGCAGGGATTACCTCGCGGAAATCAAGCTGTGGGATGGCTGGTGCTGGTAATATCTTTTTTGATGCCTATTGCTCATCGACTTCAACCCAACCACCATTATCTTCATAGGCTACTGGTTATTTTTCTCACTTGCGCGCCAACTTTCGTCATCCTCACCATCTCTTACGAGGGTCTCTTTTACTTCGCGTTCAGCCTGTTACTAGTTACCTGGGTACGGTTGGAGCACCACACCTACGAATTCCTAAAGTCGAATAGAAAAGCATCGATAGAAGGTAAAGACGCCAACAAGACATCAGCCGAGGCAGTATCCAAGTTCCGACCACTGGTTCTATCGGATGCCCGTGTAGCCTTGTTCTTCTTCATTCTTCTTCAGTCGGCCTTCTTCAGCACCGGAAATATCGCGTCTATTTCTTCATTTAGTTTAGACAGCGTAAATCGACTCCTCCCAGTATTTGACCCCTTTTCCCAGGGGGCACTTCTAATTCTCAAAATCATGATCCCATTTGCGCTGATATCAGCAAACCTAGGGATTCTCAATAAGAGAATCGGGGTAGCGCCATCGGCACTTTTTATGGTCGCAATGGCCTTGAGTGACATACTAACACTCTACTTCTTCTGGGTAGTGAAAGACGAGGGCTCGTGGCTTGAGATAGGATCAACAATTAGTCACTTTGCCATAGCCAGTCTTCTCTGCGTATTCGTCGCCGCTCTAGAAGGTGTGAGTGCATTGTTTATCGCAGGCGTCGAGGTGAACACTTCGCACGAGGCGGCGACTACGAGCAACGGAAAGATAGGGGAAACTCTGATAGAGACGACGAACGGGGGGACTAAGGAACAAAAAACGGACGCTCCTAGATGATAGATAATGTGTTTATATACGCAAGGCGAACAGCTACTATTGTGAGCTTATATAGAGAAAGCATAAAAATCAGGTACTTGTACATACCATACCATACTATACCTATGTGTAAGTTTATTGTAATACAATTACGTGAACAGAGCTTGTTTTTATCATACATCTTCTCGATATGCATGCCGCGACAGCGAATTTCAATACGTATCCCCCTAATTCGCGCCTGAACCGAATATTTGATCTCATCAGCTGGACATGAGATGCCCACATAAAATCGCCCAATGTTGTGTATGTACGACGCGATATGCAAAAGAAAACAAGAGTTAGCCTCACCGTCTACTGTCCTATACGCTATTACACTATAAGTTGCGTTGACGATCTGTCTACATTCGGAAAATGCCTCGGTAGACCCGGCGTACCGGCGGCGTCTCTAAAAAAAAACAAAAAAAACAAAAAAAACCGCGAGTAGCTCTCCACATTTCCTGAGGTTCGAACGCTAATAAGAGGGAAGCAATTTGTTTTGGGTGAATGTGATGGGTATCTGGTGTGATTTGTGTTGAGCGTATCCCGTCGTTGGTATAGGTAATCACTGCTTAAACGTCTAGTTTGAGACTTGAGGAGATGTATGTTCTTTATTTCTACTCCTTCATATCCCTTATTCTTATTAACCTTAGGTACTATATAAGTCAGTTAAACTATATAAAGGGCTTGGTAAAGCACCTTCTGCTTCCTCGCCTCCATTTCGCATATCGTCGGTTGGAAACAGGGTACGTACCGAATCTACGAGATCGTTGAGGTTTGTTGTTAGGTATTCATAAATATATGTCAAGTTGTTTCCCAAAAAACCAGCTCGTCACCCGAACGGGTTTCGTAAAGGGTACAGGTACTATGTAGCAGGGATGAGAAGGGAACTAAAGAAAACGGACTCGCCGCCGAGTCAACCTCCCGCTTCTTCACATGTCAGTAATACAGACATGCAACACCCATGCATTGTGCATGTATATATGGTACCTACTATACTAGTACCTGTACCTGGCATGTATGTGGAAGCTGCGTTTTAAATTCATCGCATGATCTTGTATGTGCATACAGGGCAAACAGTCCGTTCGATGGAGTTAACCGACTATAATATTTTGAGCATATATTAGCATCCTGATCCAAGCTGAAGGATTGCTTTGTTTTTATATCTGTTATATATATGTAAGAGATTGTCAGGTGCACTCTCGATTTCTAACGGAGAAGATCTATCGTATGAAAAGTGGTAAGGCGGGTTATGGAAGATGATCTATATAGTATAAGGTACTATAATAAGAGGTAGGTATCTCACATGCTTAGGGGTAGGGAGTATTCTACGAAAGCCCCTAGCAGTTATGTATTGTACGTAACTGATTAGGGCTGCAAAATTACATACTATGTACCTAACTGATGCTTCCTAATTACTTCTAAAATAGTCCCGAAGATGGCCTGGTTATTCCATGCATCTGCAGCACGGAGGGCAAACAAAATATGTGCGCTAAAGTTTAATATCCGCTTGTACTTCACACTATAAATTACTATGCTTAGGTACATAGGGATGACCAAAACGGACCAAGTCTTGTACAATACAATAAATACAATACAAGCACGACCTGCAAAGGCCTACTAGGTACCTACCTATTTCCCCATACCGGCAGCTACGGGACATGTTGCAGTACGATTACACAACTCGAGAATGGCTAAGGAAGAATTAGAAGGCAGGAAGTATCGGCAAGTTAAGAAAATTAAGAAATTATTATAGACACCGAAGACATCAGAAAAATCTCCTGGCGTACTATGTAAATGGCGGGACATCAAATTCTAAATTCGCTCCCGCGCGCCATCTCCCCTTGTCGCATTTGAACTCCTAACCGGGGCCGTTTCTCATATTCGCATCGCCTCTATTTGTGGTCCCCAAGCTCTTTATTCAACTTTTACCAAATAATTTTCTTTTCCGCACGCCCACGATTTGCTACTCCATAGTAGAACTTGGCCAACGCGATACGTTTACCTTTTACCCTAGTTAGTTAACTTCCCTATCAGGTACATACCTACCTAGGTAGTTGTTCCTGTCGCTCCGACTATCCTATCCAACTACCCATGCTCATGTTGCCTCACTAGACGATGAGTTGCCGTGACGTTTAATCCCCAACAGCCAAGCCCACCGACGGCGTTACCTCCAGCTTTAACGACGAGATACTTACCCTTTAACACGCCCTCTCTCGCTTCGATTGGGACATATAGGAATATATATAGGAATATATATACTATTCGTAGTGCGCGGATCGAACTTCGATGAACGGCGATATGAATCCAGACGGTGGTGATCTAGCAAGGCAGCAGCAGCAACAACAACCGGGGGCAGCGGCGACGGTGGCGGTGTCAGACTCGGGTTCGCTAGCTACACCTCCGTCCAATAATCATAACACATCGCCGGGGCCAACGACGGGTACGCAGAATGCACAGGGCCAAATGAGTTTTCGAAGGTTCGTAGAGTTGTTATATGATGCTGCAGCATATTTTATATATATGCGCTACGAGTTCGCGACGAATGGGCATGGGCTGACCAAAAGTGAACTTCATTTAGACAACGTGCTTCGAGGGCATGCGAGGTAAGCATTCTATTTATTTGTTTTATCCTCTTTTTTTTTTCCTTCCTTCTTTCGCATTGGAGGGATGAACTGGCTTCCTTTTTATCAATTCCAAGCTCGAGCTACCTATCTGGGGCTTGAGGTGGGATTTTTCTAAACGAGCCGAGGCATCTCGAGAATGCGCTCCATATTCTTTTCTAATCTTGTACCCTGCATCAACTAAACTGACCACTCGGATACCAACAGACTTGCCATGCTAGAAAGGTACGAAAATGACGTCTTACCTTGATTCGTCAAATATACCCTAAAAAAACAAAAAATAAGAATAAAACAAATAAATAAACGGCCATGTCAGAAACGTACATATAGAAGGAAAACAATATTTACATAAATAATAGGTGCGATGCGATGCGGCGAGCCTCGGCGTCCCTTGTACCAATTGTGTCGCTTTCCAAATCGAATGTAAAATTCCACAACCTAAGAGGAAGAAGACTCAGGCAAATGCGACAAAAGATTCAGATAGGTACGTACACATTCTCTGCATCTCTCCGTACCTAGGTAGTGTAATCGAATACAGGATGATTAATTAGATTGCTTCTAGCGACCGTGGGGACATCGTCGAAGATACCTCTCCGAAGCCACCTAATGCCGGCTCTTCGAATACGTTTCCAGCGCGACCGGCTGTATTACACTCCTCGGAGGGTGTTCCGACAACGACCTCCATAGAAGCCCAAGCTAGGAGAGAGGAGGCTGACCACGACACGTACGTCAACTTAGTCATGAAGCCCAAGTTTACTAGAGCGCCCATCACCGAGGCTGGTAGGGTAGCTTTCTTAGGGGAATCGTCGAATCTGACGCTGTTGGTCCATGATCGTCAAGGAGATTCCGATGTTGTACATTACCCGCTACCCGAGAATGTACGTGGATCCAGGGCTCGCTTGACTGAACTGGACAATATCGAGATCGATATTCTCCATCGGCGCGGGGCCTTCTTACTTCCACCTAGGTCCCTCTGCGACGAGCTTATCGATTCGTACTTTAAATGGATTCACCCAATCGTGCCTGTTATAAATAAGACTCGGTTCATGAGACAGTACCGGGATCCCAAGAACCCGCCCTCGTTACTCCTTCTCCAAGCCATCCTACTTGCTGGTTCTCGAGTCTGCCACAATCCTCAACTAATGGATGCGAATGGGTCGACCACACCGGCTGCTCTGACATTTTATAAAAGAGCAAAGGCCCTCTACGACGCTAATTACGAGGATGACCGTGTGACGATTGTCCAAGCTCTACTCCTGATGGGTTGGTATTGGGAAGGTCCAGAAGACGTCACTAAGAACGTGTTCTACTGGAGTAGAGTTGCTATAATTGTAGCTCAAGGATCCGGAATGCACAGGTCGGTAGAGGCGTCTCAGTTGAGTAAGGCTGACAAGAGATTATGGAAGCGTATCTGGTGGACGCTCTTCACTCGTGATCGATCCGTGGCGGTTGCGCTAGGACGACCATGCAATATCAATCTAGACGATTCAGATGTTGAAATGCTGACTGAAGAGGATTTCATCGAGGATGAGCCAGACAATGCGAGCGGGGTTGCCCCTGACCCTATTCATGTTCAATTCTTCCTGCAGTATGTTAAGCTTTGCGAGATCATGGGCCTAGTCTTATCCCAGCAATATTCTGTAGCATCCAAGGGCCGGCGCCAGAACGCCATCGATCTCACTCACAGCGACATGGCCTTGGCCGATTGGTTACAGAATTGTCCCAAATCGGTATACTGGGAGATGCCGCGACATCACTTCTGGAGCGCATTGCTTCATTCTAACTATTATACAACACTTTGTTTGCTTCACCGGGCACATATGCCTCCTAATCATAGCAGCGCTGCTCGGTTTCCGGATGATTCTGCCTATCCTTCGCGAAACATCGCCTTTCAGGCTGCAGGGATGATCACATCTATCATTGAAAACCTGTCGGCGCACGATGAGCTCCGCTACTGCCCTGCATTTATTGTGTACAGCTTATTCTCTGCTCTCATCATGCACGTATATCAGATGCGGTCACCCGTCTTCTCCATCCAGCAAGTTACGCAAGCTCGGATTCGGACCTGTATGGAAGCTCTTAAGGGGGTTTCTAAGGTGTGGTTAGTGGGCAAGATGGTTCACACCCTGTTCGAGTCAATATTGGGGAATAGAAATATGGAAGAGAGGTTACAGAAAGCTGCCGGCAAGCATCACAGGAAAGTGCAACAAAGCTTAGCTCAGCTGGAGCAGCACCAGCAAAGACAGCAGGAAGCCAATAAACGGAAATATGATGAGATGGCTCTTGACTTCAGTATAAATACACCAGTACATCAAGAATCCTACGAGCGATCGCGTCCACAAACCCCTAGGAACGAACCGATCCAAAACCAGCCACCACACATGGGCCCGCCCATCCACTCACCGAACACCAGGTCAGACGCTTTCATGGGTACTAACAGCAGGCCACATACTCGACCAGCAACCCCGTTCAACCCGTCCTTCTCCGTCCCGACGACCCCTCCGGATCTCTATCTCGTGACTCGTAACTCACCCAATCTTTCCCAATCCATATGGGAGAATTTCCAGCCAGATCAGCTTTTCCCGGAAAGCTCTCACATACCGATGCCGCAGATGTCGCCTCCGCAGACCCAACAGAGTCTCGACCCGAGTCTTGTAAATCCGATACAGGCTGGTATGTCACCGCAATCGCCCAGGCAAACCAGCCAGTACCAACCCCGGGCGCCCAATAAAGCCGCCGTTACGAGTCCTCCGCAGGCTAACGCTTACTTACAACCAGGCATTGGAGGATATCAGTCTCAACCAAATAACTTATGGCCGGGAGGTGACGTCGGCACGGGAATGCCAGACGGCCAAAGTCCAAGTGACAGCTGGAGTACCGGATCCGGACAGCAGCCCGTGCCGGCTACATTGAACGTCGAAGATTGGTAAGCCACTCAACTCATTAAGATTAAACTTATTTCTAATATATACTTATTATTTCAGGTTCCAATTCTTCGGTATCAATGGGAACGACGTAAACTTTTCTGGGTTGGACATGCCCATAGGCGGAGGCTGAAGCTAAGGCTGCCCTACTGTGTAGATATACAATGATATTTGCGATCATCTCTGGGTATATTTTTGCCGGTCTTTATATCGGGTCACGATTGACGTGGTAGCATGTAAGTGGGCTTATGCTGTCATTTGCTAGGAGTTCCGGTGGGCTTCTTAAGGACTTGAAGCTATACGACGAATATATAGGGGAAAACGGCTTTGTTGATTACAAATTAAACACCTTAGCCTTGGGTGTCTGTGGGATATAATCGCTTATGAGCAAAAAAAAAAAAAAAAAAAAAAAAAAAAAAAAAAAAAAAAAATTTTAATAAAAAATAAAAAAAAAAAAAAAAGAGTGGCCCAATGGCCCGGGTTATAGGCCATAAACAACCATGTTAAAATAAAAACGGCAAAAAATAATGCAATTTAACGG